AACACCTCTTGCTCCACCACCTAAACCTGTTCGAAGAAGATTAAAATCAGAAGATGAATTAAGGCCAGATGTTGATGAACACACACAAAAGACAGGTGTCTTGGCTGCTGTTCTTGCATCACAACCTTCTATTCCCAGGTAATCAGCATTATTATTAAACATTTAATTACTAAGAACAAAAAGCACAATAATTAAAACACCAAACTGAAAGAAATTAATGGTCAGACTAATTCTCAGTTTTTAGTTTTTCATTCCTGAATAGGTGGACTATTCTTCCCACGTTTTCCCCCATTATTATTATTAAATTCAATTCCAATTCCATTTTAACACCCTATTGTAAACTCTGGGGTGGGAGTTTTTAAAAACGATAATGTAGACTGAAACTAATATTTTAATTGTGGTTGTTTAAGATCAGGGTTTGGCAGACTGAAACTCAGGGGCAAATTCAGACCATGGCCTAGTTTTGTATAGCCCATGAACTAAGAGTGGTTTTTACATCCTTGTAAAAAAAGAATAGAAGGGAAAAGGGGAAAAAAATAGAGTATACAACAGAAACTGTATGCCCTTAAAGCCTAAAATAAGTCTGTTTACAGAAAAAGTTTGCCAGGGCCTGCCCTAGACTGTTTAACTTTAAACTTGGGATTCTTGCCGGGTGCAGTGGCTCATACCGTAATCCCAGCTACTTGGGAGGCCAAGGATCACAAGTTCAGGGTAGCCATTTAACAAGACCCTATTTTTAAAAACAAAAGTCGAAAGGGCTGGAGAGATATAGGGCTGGAGTTGTGGCTCAGTGGTAGAGCACTTTCCTAGTATGTGGAGGCACTGGGTTTGATTCTCAGTACCACACAAATAAATAGATAAATAAATAAAATGAAAGTTCATTGACAACTAAAAAAAATATTTAAGGGGGGGGGGGTGAAAATGTGATTCAGTGGGAGAGCACACCTTGGATTCAATCACCAGTACGATGCAAAGGAAAAAGATGGAAAACAGAAAAAAAAAATCTTGGGATTTTCAGTAATTAAAACAATAGCAAAAATAAACAAAAGCTTCTGAAGCTTATATGTTTTTAGTTGACCATTGAAACTAACTAAGTGAGGTTTTGAGCTGTGTTAATAAGGAAAAAGATGTTCCCTGTTCTTTCCATGCTCAAAAATAGATCAGGGAACAATGAGTTCAGGTAAAGAAATAAAGGTTTTGGTTTTTGTCCTCTTTACTTCCTCAGATCCATTGGGAAAGATAAGAAAGCTATTCAGGCATCAATTAGACGCAATAAGGAAACCAACACAGTTTTGGCCAGATTGAATAGTGAATTGCAACAACAATTAAAGGTAATATAGTTTGTGATACATTATTTGGGAATTTCCACAGGCCCAGAGTTGTGGAGGAAGTTAAAGAGAATCCAACAGGTTTTATGCTTGCATGAAATCTCCCTCATATCAAGAGAACTGTATATCTAAAATGCTGTATTAGCCACTGAATTTTTTAGTAGTAAAAGAAATTTTTGAAACTCAATTCTGATATACATTGCCTTATCCTATATAGATACAAGAATTACAGTTCCTATAATGTTCCTTAACTTTCATATAAAAACTTAAAGAAAAGAAACCCTGTAACCTCAGGCACACCATACATCACATACATAGCTCTTTGCATTATAAGTAATTATTAGATGATTTGACTGCTTGTAGTTTATCTTTTTACCAAAAACTACTCAGATTATATTAAAGGAACTTAAAGATGACAAGGGGTGGAGAAAATTTAGATTATCTTACATGTAGAAATAGAAAAGACAGACCTTAAATAAAAATGGTATTTCCATGTAATGTGTTCCACTGTTATCCAATACTTGAGATGAATGAGGGGTTTTTCCCCATTATGCACTATGATTTATTTGAATGAATAAAATAATTATACTCAGAATCACTCACATTATTAAGCCCTCATGTCTTATAAACCAGTGGTTTATAAACTTTAATGTATATATAAATAATCTAGGGTTGTATTAAAATGCAAATTCTGATTTAGTAGGTCTGGGATGGAACCTGAGAATTCTACCTAAGGTTCCAGAGAAGAAGAAGAAAAAATTAGAATTTGTGGCTACTTGAAAAGACTCCTCAGAATCAACAGTAATTAAAAAATCTGGGTGCAAAATGAATTTTTCCTTTGGGGACCGGAACTCAAAATGGGATCCAGAAGTTGCTATAACTGAATGACATCACTAGGGAAAATAATCTGTGTTAACTAATTCATCTAACAGTTTATTCAGGAGGCTGGCTTTATATAAAATTTTTATAGAAATACCCATTCTTTGCAAATGTTAACTTTCCTAATAACTGGCTTAAAAACATTTTATTACTTGATTTACATAGTAAGAAAGATTTAAGTTACTAGGATCATATTTTCAATGTATGAAGAAACTACCTTTCTAAAGTGATGTATACTTTCAAAATATGAATAGTTGTCCATTAGTCTCCTTGACAAAAGCAAATTGTTTTCAGAGTTGTTGTTAAATGTGTCTTTGTTTTTATATATTTTTGAATATAACTTGGACTTGATATCTTTTTCAGGATGTTCTTGAGGAGAGAATTTCCCTGGAAGTTCAACTGGAACAACTTCGACCATTCTCTCACCTATAAGCCAATTGCCGTTAACTGTGAACATACCCCATTTTTAAGCGGTTTTGGGTTCAAAGCCAATTTGGAGGCCCAAATATTCAGCTCACTGCTTAATTCAAAATTAAATTTTATGATTCTGTTTTGCCCTATATGTTCACCATTGTATTTAAGTATCTCTTTTTTTTTTTTAATTTCAACAATAAAAGGGTCAGGATGACTTTTTCTGGAGGATACATTGTGTTTGTTGGCATATCCCACCTCTGCTCTTTTGCAGCATCAGGAAAATATAATATTGGTCCATCATATTTATATGGCAAAACCACATACAGATTTGATTGACAGTATGGGCTCAAGCATACACTCAGAAATCTTTGCAATAAGGAAATAAGGAAAACAAAAATAAACTTGATTTATCCTTTTAGGCTTAATATGTTATATAAAACATCTATATTCTGTAAAAAAAAAAAAAAAAAAAAAGCTTTAAAATTAGTTTTCTATGTAATTTTTACTTCAAAGAACTATGTTGGATAAGATAGTTTTTACCAGAAGCTAATTTACTGAGTGGAGTCCTCCTATCTGCAATATTCTACTTTCTTAAATACCCAGATGATTCTTTAAGCATCGTTTACATATCAGTTTGGGGGTCAGGTACTAGTTTTCCTTGTCATATTTTGACCAGTTTCATCAGAGACTTAGAATTTTTCAGCAGCAATCATAGAAACTTATGAGCTGTCTATGAAGATGGGCCTTTTAAATTGTCCCTTCAAGATAAAGGAAAAACTGTGAAACCACTCCATAAATACTGCCCATTCAGAAACATCGCCATGTCAATTTTACATGATTGATGCTGTCAACTTTTTTAGAAGTTATTACTGAGATTATTTTAAATTAATGTGCTTCTAAATTTCCAAGGATATCAGTTATAGAAGAAATGGAAATTCCTTAAGATTTCTGTTTACCTTTCACTATCTTGTCACTTGTTCTTTTTGCCATATAGATAGGTTTTCCTATTACAAGTTTCTGGAGTATACCCTATTTGGGATAATATACTATCTTACAATTTGTTTTATATCATACATTGGGATCACATGTATAAATTTGCATTCTTGCTAACAACAGATATTGTCTTTAAAGTTATTCTGTCTGTTGTATCATAGATGTTAAACTACAGGGCTATATCATAATAGAATCAGAAGTGTGATTTCACACTAAAAAGAACAGTACATACGTATTTTAACTTTTGTATATTTTTCATAAGAATTTAAATTTTTAAGAATTAGAAGGAATTAGTTTCATTGTTTAACCCAGGATAAAAATCCTAAACTGTACTAGTAAATTTTATTACTTTATCAAGCAAAAAGGAATTTGGCGACCTAAAGCTTCCAAGATTATATAACTTTCATTTATCATTAAGTAGATATAAATATTACTACTGCACACATCAGCTAAAGCTTCCAGGTGGCCCCAAGTTATAACCTTTATTAGCTAAACATGCTAATAAAGGCTTTAAAGGCCCAGGAAACTTCTATTTTGCTGTTTCTTTGTTTTAAACAGAGCTGTCTTAATTTATTTGATTTTATTAAGCTAAGTCCCATTACAGGCAGTTTCACTAGGTTTCCATTTATTTTTGTTTCTTAAAAATGGCTTATTTTTCAGTGGCCTTCTAATTTGACAATATCAACAGTATTTTTAAACCTCCTTATTTGGATATTCTAAGTTTTGCAGCAAAAAAAAAAAAAAAAAAAAACTAAATACAAAAAAATCTAGTGCTTTGTAATGGTACTTTTTTGTTTGCTAGAGGATTACATTCATATTAAGGATGTAATTAACAAGTGTTTTAGAAAGTTGTCACTTATATTTCTTATGTATTTTTTAATCAGTAATTGTTCTATGAAAATTTTAAAGATTGCAGATCAACAAATTAAGCTTTCTAGAATGGTCATTTAAACTTTTCATTCTAGTGTTTTTTCTTTAGATGATTAAAAAAAACTTTGCACAAAATGCTTGCTCTCTTAGGACTCATTACATCAGTCAAATTATTTTAAATAATGTCCAGGAAAAATAACTACCAAAAGAAATGGTTCAAAATTTTAAACTGATTGTTCTTATGTTACACATGACTGTGTTATAAAAGCCTATTTTTTTTTAATTTTTTTGTGGGGGTAGTGGTACTGGGGATTGAATCCAGAACCTTGTGCATGAGAGGCAAGCACTCTACCAATAGAGCTATCCCCAGCCCCACAAAACTTTTAGATAATGAAGTTCAAAAGTTGGAAGAAATCTTATGGGTCATCCTAGTTCATCTTCTCATCATCCACAACAGATCATCATTCTGCTTCTTACTGGATACCCTAGAACAGAAGAACAACATTTTCTGTCTTTGCCAGGGAGAATTGACACCCCTGATGTTTTCTTCAAGTCCAGTCTCACTTGTCCATACTGCTTTTGATCGCATTTTTGAGTACTGACAACCATAGGAATTTGTCATCCTCTACTTCAGTAGCACAAATCCATTCACATTTTGGACCTTGAAGAATAAATGCATTCTTGACATCTGTGAAAGCGTTTAAGGTACACAAATTATTCTTTACAGTAACAAAAAGAGAAAATGTTTTAAATTTCAAGGACTGACCAAGTCATCTTTAAGAATTCTTTGAAACCTAAAATTAAGGGTTCAACACAAACACAAGCCTAGTTTAGAACATAACTTCCTAAAATTAATGATTAAATATGTCATAATCTAAAATAATCTTTATAATTAGCAATTATTTGAAAGACTAAATGGTAGATGATGTGGTATTCTTTAATTTCTTAATCTCAGTCACTCCATGAAGAACTGGAATTGATGAAGATCTTTACTAATAGTTACTATAATTAGACATGCTGAGAGCTAGACCTAGACAACTTTGTTATGAGGTGCCAGTGACAAAGCCAGGTACTGTACTTAATTCAGTGCCTGCCCACTGTTAGGTTATATAACAGTTTCACAGAGTATAGCTGGTTATCATGAAAGGAAATGAACTGAAGAAAAGAAACATGTTTCATACACTATGATTATGGGTAGCTAACCCTTTTTACCTTCAGATACTTTCTAGGTAGAAATATTTATTCCCACACTTAGCATTCTTTTTTCCCTAATGCTCAGATTTAGAATGGAGCAGAAGCTATTGAGAAATAGTTTTTTTATTCAAGTTAATTTCTTCTCTAAGATCTTGATTCCTGCTTTAACATTAACTCCTTTCTTTACATGCATTGGAAAATATTGGAATGAGAGTGTTACATTTAAATTGGCCTAATAAGTATAGGAAAGAGATTGGTCCTTTTAAGTTGAGAAGTAGAGTGCAGGATGATAACTGAAAGTAGGCATAACAGGTTAAGTAGGATTTCTTTTTTGTGATTTCCACTGGAATTAGTATAGATAAAATGTTCAAATTACTAAGCAGCCTATGCAAGTTTGTTAATTCCTTTATAGAAAAACTCCCAACTTCAATGTGAATTTTAGGAAGAAAAGGTACAATACAAGTTTGTAGTAGCTATATAGTCCTAGTAGAATAAAGAAGTAATAGAGGAAAATCTAAAGTGGTGTTTTAAGTCTCTAACATCTTCAGACTTTACTGCTTAGTGGTTAAGAACTCTAGCTCTGAACTCAGAACTCTCAAAAGAATTCAGGATGATATGGGGTCTTGCCTCCCTTTGTGATTTTGAAAGCTCTGTTCCTGATATCTAGGGGACTTGTCTGATAATGCCAACATTCCTTTTTTTTTTTTTTTTTTTGCTATTTCAGAGATAGATGAAAGTTTAACAAAATTCTAATGTTTAGGGAATTATTTGCAAGCTAGCAAGTTGTAACTCCAGTCCTTTTCCTGCTAAAAGGAAAACAGTCCTTTTCTATTTTAATAGTTGATGAACTTTATAAAGATATTTGCTCTTAAAGGAATAAATACATACACTTGGAATCTGGAATATCTTCTATCAGTAACCTGTGAAGGGCCACTGATGCAATGAACTGGTAGGTTGTTTTTGAAGTCCTTTCAAATGGAGTGTGAGATATGCCCCGGCTAGAAACAAGCAGTGCATCATTGAAGAGGAAGAAGCTGAGATCACGAATTTGTTCATAGAGCCTGTGTTAAAATGGAAATGGGAAGAGTTTTCATATATGTATATATGTGCTTTGTTAAACAGTTAAGCCTCTTTAATAAGTCCTAGTTAAGATTTTGACCCCACTCCAGACTTTTCAAGTGCACATCACGTTCACAGTAAGATTTTCCTCCTGATGTGATTATTTCCCACTGTCTCTCTCAGACCAATATTGGGAGCCATCAAGTTACTGGATGGAGTCGTTCATAATCAGTGTGGGAAAAATGAACATTGAATTTTCGCTCCTTTATGAAGAATCATATTATGGTTCTTTGTTTTGTTTTGAAATTATAGCTCCTTTTATTTTCTTCGTTTTACAAAGCATGTAGTTTTTTAAATTTTTTATTCTAATTTGTTATATGACAGCAGAATGCATTACAATTCATATTACACATATAGAACACAATTTTTCATATCTTTGGTTGTATGTAAAGTATATTCACACCATTCGTGACTTCATACATGTACTTAAGAGTAATGATGTCCATCTCATTCCACCATCTTTTTTACCCCCATGCCCCCTCGCTTCCTTTCCTACCCCTTTGCCCTATCTAGAGTTCATCTAATCCTCTCATGCTCCCCCTCCCAAACCCTGCTATGAATCAGCCTCCTTATATCAGAGAAAACATTCGGCATTTGGTTTTTTGGGATTGGCTAACTTCACTTGGCATTATCTTCTTATTATGATTCTCTTTTTAAACTTGTTTAGTGTTTTGTGCCAGGCATATTTGGGCAGTGTGAGAGAAATAAGTTTTTGTTTTATCTCTTAGGGAAACATGAGTGTGGCACAAGGTGTCTTTAAGTAGAGGGGAAAGAGACATTTAAATACTAGGTAGAAGTAAGTTTTTCATTTTGATTGATCAGCATGCAAGGTAAAAGATAGTTTTTCATTTTTACTGGGGTTACTAACATGGTCAGCTGTAGGCATGTTTATCAAGAAGCAAAATTTGGTGTCCTTAGCCAGTTATACTTTTTAAAATTTTTTTAATTGTTAGTGAACACAATACCTTTATTTTTATTTATGTTTTTATTTTTATGTGGTGCTGAGGATTGAACCCAGTGTCTCACCCATGCTAGGCAAGAACTGTAACTCTGAGCCACAACACCATCCCCCAGTTATGCTCTTTGATTTCTGTTGTTGGAGCAGTTCATTGGTGGGTTTCACTGTGCTCTAGTGTGGGTTATACTGTGAGAGTACACTAACAGAGCATCATACTTGAGAGTAATGATGTCCAGTAATAGACTGGGGAGGAGCCCAGGAACCCAAACCACTCCCCATGGCTCCCATGCCCCTCCCATTCAGGAATGGCTACATGAAGAAAGCTAAATGTTTGGGGGTTTTAAATATATTTTTTTAATTGTAAATGGACACAAGATTTTTATGTGGTATTGAGATTCAAACCCACTACCTCACACATGCAAGGCAAACACTCTACCACTGAGCCATGACCTAGCCCGAAACCTAAATGTTTTGATAGAGAATATAATTATTTTATGACTGTCAAGCAACCCTTGGGAATTTAATGAAGGGAGTCAATTTGTGTATGCTTATTCAAGGGAAGTCTCATTCTTTATCTTCAATATTAATTTTTAAATTATCCATTTAGAGCATACATTTTTATAGAAATTTTTAAGTACACCAGTCTTGCAATTGGTTCTTATTTAATGTACAAATATGTACATTACTTTTTCTCCTTTTTCCATTGTGCTTGGCTCACTCCTCCCTCTACTCATGTGACCCAACTTTCCAACCCAATGCATATCCTTCAATTTCTTTGTATTGCTCAGGTAATCACGCATGTATACACACATTTATTTACAAGGAAATTTCCATTATTTTACAAAAATGCCAATATTATTCCCCACTTTTTTTTTCTTTTCTGGTTTTCTCAGCAATGAAAATCATTTTGATCTAACTACTTGGTTTTAATTCATTCTTTTTAAATAGCTAAATAGTACTTAATGGTGTGAATGGACTTATTTATTTCCACTACAGATGGACATTTTACCTTGTTTAGAAGTTTTGGTCCTCTTCCCCCTTGCCACCAACTAATTCCTAGTTCCTTACACATAAACAAATTTCTTACATTCGCTGTTAATTTCTATCAGATAGGAATCCCAAGAGTATGGATTAGTCCCAAGATAGATTAGTCAAATGAGTTCTGTACTTTCATCAAAGAATTCCAGGTTCTCCATGACACCTGCATAAGATGGCATTTCTAGTAAGCTCCCTTGTGTTGCTGATTCTACTGACCTACAGGCCAGCCACACTTTGAGAAGTAAGGCACTTAAGTCATTTATTTATTTATTTATTTACCATACGATTTATTTTTATTTTTTTTTAGTCCTACATGAGAGCAGAGTGTATTTTGACATATAATACATACATGGAATGTACATACATCAATCATAATGTCTATTCTATTCTGCTGCCCTTCCTATCCACCCTATTCCTCCCCTCCCCTCCCATCACTTCTCTCTATCCAATCTAATGTGACACACTTTTTTTTTTTCTTTTTCTCATCACAACATCATATATATATATTCTATATAACAATGAGGTTCTCCTTCCATCTTCCGTGCAACACCCCTTCTCCCTCTTTTTCCCTCCCACCTCTCTTCCCTATTTAGTGGTAGTCTTCTTCTCATGCTCTTCCTCCCTATCCCATTTTGAGTAACCACCTTATATCAGAGAAGACATTCGGCATTTGTTTTTTAGGGATTGGCATAATCCCACTTAGCATATTCTGCTCTAATGCCATCCATTTCCCTGCAAATGCCATGATCTTGTTATTTTTTAGTGCTGAGTAATATTCCATTGTATATAAATGCCACATTTTTTAATCCATTCATCTATTGAAGGGCATCTGGGTTGGTTCCACATTCTAGCTATTGTGAATTGTGCTGCTATAAACATTGATGTGGCAGTGTCCTTGTAGTATGCTCTTTTTAGGTCTTTTGGGTATAGTCCGAGAAGGGGAATAGCTGGGTCAAATGGTGGTTCCATTCCCAGCTTCCCAAGGAATCTCCATACTGCTTTCCAAATTGGCTGCACCAATTTGCAGTCCCACCAGCAATGTGTGAGTGTACCTTTTTCCCCTGCATCATCACCAGCACTTATTGTTGTTTGACTTCATAATGGCTGCCATTCTTATTGGAGTGAGATGGCATCTTAGTTTTAGTTTGCATTTCTATGATTGCTAGAGATGGTGAGCATTTTTTCATGTATTTGTTGATTGATTGTATATCCTGAGAAGTTTCTGTTCAAGTCCTTGGCCCATTTGTTGATTGGGTTATTTGCTTTTTTGTTGTTTAACTTTTTGAGTTCTTTGTATACTCTAGAGATTAGAGCTCTATCTGATGTTTGAGGGGTAAAAATTTGTTCTCAGGATGTAGGCTCCCTATTCACCTCACATAAGAGCTGAGCAAAGGACTACATCCAGGAGTTAAAATTCCAGGGAATTTTATATATACTTTAGGTTTCAGCTATTTGTACAGTATTAAGGAAGTATGAGGTTTGTGGGTGTGTGGATAGATAGAAATACAGTAGTATTCCAGCTCCTTGAGCCAGCTATTCCTTTCAAACTTTTCCTTTCTGTCTTTGGTTATCCCAGCCACTCAGGAGGCTGAGGCAAGAAGAATCAGTTTCAGGCCAGCCTAGGCAATCTAGCAAAACCCTGTCTCATAATAACAGATAAAAAAGCTAGGGATGAGGCTCAGTGGAAAAGCCCTTTTGCATGAGACCCTGTGTTCAATCCCAGTATCCCATACAAAGTTTTATACATATTTAAATACATATATGCATATATATATATAAAATTTTAATCTAGAAAAAGTTTTTCAAAAGCCATTTACTAAATTAAGCCCCTCAAGCTCTCCAACAATTTTCATCCATAGACAAAAAGCACCAAAAGGTTTTTAAAAAGTTTTAATAACTCTTTTAAATATGCAAAAGCAAATAATTTGATCTTTAATATCAACCTAATAAAGCAAGTAGAGTGGAAATTATGGATCCTATGTAATGTTTCAGAATGCTACCAATGCTTACACTCAGAATCAACTCCAAGATTAGGGCATTTGCTTTTTCCCTGAATTTTGACAGGATTTCTTTGCTCATCTATAAATAATGAATGACTCAGGAAAATGGAACACAGTTACTCTAGTGTAAATTCTTAACTCCATTCTAGAAGTGCTGTGTTATTTATGCATTAACTAGACCACATCAGAAGACATAAAGTACCTAACTCCTATAATACATAAAACTTTAAAAGAAATTTTCAGGATGAAAGCTTTAGAAGGAATGGACAACAGCTTCTACCGTGAGCTGATCTGAGCAGAACAGTTGACAGCTAGCATCTGTCTCCACACTGACTTGGGGATCACAATAGCTCTTGGGTCCCTAGAGTAGGACTAAATTCAGAACCAAGAGTCTAGTGTCTCCAAAAAATCTGGGTGTTTCCCTTTCTCCAATGCATAGTTGCCCTGGTAAATAACCACACTTAAAAAGATTAGCAAGCTTAAAGTCACATATATGAAGATTGGTGTTTCTGGAAAAAAGTTATAAGAGTTCCAAAATACATAATACACTATAAAAGCTAAATATAATCTAAAACTACAGTTTATGTCCACAATGGAAAAAATATCTTCTGAAATTCCTAGCTCTTCATATGACTCTATGACTTCCATCTCTATTTCCAGAGGAATAGAGAATTGTTTAGAATGCAAACATTTACCCATTCTTTCAGTGTTAATTATTTGTTTAGTACTTGCTGCTACATTGGTAAATTTATTATGAGGGAGGCTCAGTTCATCTTTCCACCTGCCTATGATCTGTGGAGACAGCCTGTGCACTGAGAGACTAGGTTGTGAATTCCTGACCAGCCTTTAATAGTTCTGTGACCTCAGGCAACTTACTGAAGTTGGATTCTCCAGGATCTTGTCCTACCTGCCTCACCAAGAGATTGTAATGAATTTATCAAGTAGAATAGTTAAATACATGGTAAACTATAAAGCCTTATATTCCTGTCACTGTCATACCTATAAGCATAATGTATTTGCTTTAGTAAAAATCTCTGATGGAAATCATGGGAATGGCAATTCTTTTATTTTATGTGATTTTCTAAAATGACAAAACAAGATTGCAGGCTAAATATTGTGCAATATTTTAGAATATAAGCCTGTTTGCAGTTATTTAATTTCAAATGTTAATGTGAAGTTATATATGTTTATTGGCAAATAGTATAAATGTAATCAGAAAACGTGCCTACTTGAATATAAATGTACCACACAGAGTGTAAAATAATTTAGTATTATCTTAATCTTCTTAAATGTACTGTCATCTCTTGTCCAAGACAAGTCTAAATTCTAGTAGACTTCCATTCCCAAATGACATGTAAAGGGCTTGGAAGTTGTCTTTCCTAACCTCATAACAAAAAATAAATGGAAAAAACCCTCAGAATTGACAACTCTTCTCAGATCTACCAGAGAACTGAAGTCACGGAGTTAACCACCACCCCAAAAGCTGGATAGACCAATACAATCTTAAACCAACTACTGGCTAGAGCCAGTATCAAACACTTAAAGGCTCATTGATTAACTATAGGAGATTGTGGAGAGAAGAGAAAGGGAGAAAACATCAGGGGTTCCCACACTGGTCTGAGTTTTACCCACAAGTTCTTATGATGAAGGACAGAGAAAAATCCCCTTATTCTTCCCCAGGGCAGATGAAAAGTAGCCATTTTGAAATATGTCCAGAGAGTTCTGTTCTCCTTAACCAAGTCCTGCCCCAAGGAGAACTTTTAACAGAACTTAACTAACTTGGGTTTTACCAAAATATAACCATTGCAGGAAAAGGAGAGTATCTAACTCCAGCCCTCTCTATCCTTCACGCCTCATCTTAGAGTTGGAAAAAATGCTGAGAAGCACTTACGAAGGTCACATCTCAGGCAATAGGCTCATTAAAAGACTGAACACTGGTCAAAGAAGTACAGAATGCTTCCCCTTCCCTCACTTTACTTCCATATCAATAGTACCCTCATATAATACAGCTGACAGAACCACAAGGGTCAGACCCTATTTAGATCTTCCAGGAAATCCAAAAACAATAGGGGAGACCAAAACAAGGACACTAGGGAAAATTGCAAACTCTGACCTCAACCCAGTTAAACACAGCCTACCTCCTAGCCAAATAAACTAAAACCTCACACTAAAAAGGTCTATTTAGCCCAGTTCCTTTTGCTGATACTTTGTGTCTGTCCTTCAACAAAACATTATAAGGCATCCTAAGAGGCCAAAAACAGATTGAAAAAAGGCCAAGTATCAGAACCAGACTCAGAGAAGGTAGAGATATTGAAATTTTTTAACTATGATTAATATATTAAGGGATCTAATAGGAAAAGTAGACCACATGGAAGAAGAGAGGTGTCATGTAAACAGAAATTTTTAAAAGAAAGTTAAAAAGAAATATTAAAAATAAAATCATAAATGAAGAATGCCTTTCTTTAGTGGGCTCATCAGTAGACTGGACACAGCTGAGTTAAGAATTAGTATATTTGAAGATATGTCAATAGAAACTTTCCAACGGAAAAAGAAAAAAGACCAGATTGGAAAAGAAAGGAACAGAATATTTAAGTAATGAGTACATTTCAAAGCACATGTGTGTAATGGGAATAGTAAATGGAGATGAGAAAGAAACAAGAAATATTTGGAGTAATAATGGCTGAAGTTTCCAAAATTATTGACAGCAAAACACAAGCCCAGGAAGCTCAGAGAATACTAAGCAGAATAAATACCAAAAAATCTATATCTACACATAATACACTCTTAACTTCAGAAAACAAAGAGAAAACCTTGAAAGAATCCAAAGAACAACAAAACACCTATTTATAGAGGAACAAGGATAATGATTACTTTATACTTCTCTTTGGAATTATTCCATCATGAAGTGAATGGAGTGAAATAAGTATAAAAAAATCTCCAACCTAGAATTACATAGCCTGCAAAATTTTCCTTCAAACATGAAGTAGAAGTAAGAATTTCTCAAACCAAAATTGAGGCAATTAATTGCCAGTAGACCTGCTTTGCAAGAAATGTTAAAGGAGGTTCTGCAGATAGAAGGAAAACAATACAGAAACTTGGAAAGGAAGTGCTCAAGAAGGAACACATGAAGGTCAAATAATAACCCAAACTGGAACAATTCCTGGCATGTGTCCTACCACAGCAGTTTAGAATTGCTGCTTTAGGCTCTAGTTTCTATCATTGTAGCTCTTTGCTAGTGTCACTAGCCAAAAACAGCACAAAAGAAACAAAAATACTGTGACAATGAGACACTACTGTATAATTTGATTTTCACTAATGATCTGCTCAAGGTGGAAATAGAGGTAAATATTTCTTCCATCTACACCAGGGCTCTATGCTTTTGGAAAATGGTTGCTGAAATATTCATTGAAAGAAATCATCTTTTTACTTTTATTGCAATGGGATCATTTGGTCACTTGGGTCTTCTTTCAATAGAAAAGTGACCATCCTTGAGAAGTTCTGCTTAATTATGTGCTAGGTCATTATCTTTGCTATTAATACTGGAAAATAGTTTTTTAAAATATATTTTTAGTTGTCAATGGACCTTTAATTTATTTATTTATATGTGGTGCTGAGAATCCAACCCAGTGCCTCACACATGCTAGGCAAGCACTCCACCACTGAGCTCAGTTTGATAGTTTTCTAAAGCAGAGATAAACAAACTATAGCCCATTACCTGTTTTTGTAAATAAAGATTTATTGGAACAAAGCCATACATATCCATTTATATATTGTTTATGAATAGCATACATTTTTTGTATTATATCATTTATGTTAGGGTTTTTTGCTACAATGACAAAGGTAGGTCATTGCCACAGAGATCATTTGGCCAGCAAATCCTAAATATTTACTCTCTGAACCTTTACAGGAAAGAACTTGTCCATCTTGTTCTAAAGGAGGAATGGAACACTAATTTATGGACATTGGCATTCTTGCACTACTCTGAGCACTGTGCAAACTACATGTGGTGAAGTTGTTGTTGTTGTTATATTATTATTATTTTAGTACTAGGGATTGAACCCCTGGGCACTCAACCACTGGGCCACATCCCTAGCCCTTTTTTGTATTTTATTTAGAAATAGGGTCTCACTGAATTGTCTAAAGTCTCGCTAAGTTGCTAAGGCTGGCTTTGAACTCAAGATCCTCCTTCCTCAAGCCACTGGGATCACAGGTGTGTGCCACTGCGCTCTGCTAGGTGAAGTCATTTTTAATACCAGCCTCAACAACTATTTGAGGATAATAAGATGTTCCCCTCTTTTGTATAGTTGAACAGATGATTGGTGCGCAATCCATAATACTTGAATCTTCTCTCAGTAGAAAAGTAACCAACCTCTAGAAGTTCTGCTTCTATGGAGTTTGTGGTCTTGGTAAAGACAATTTATTTTCTCCCATCTGCCCAAGAACTGCATAGAACTTATGTAAGGTAATAGAGTATACCTCTTGCACTACATCAGAGGGATTGTATGTAGCTTCTTTGTTCAATGCAAAGATTTATCATACACATATAGTATGTCAGGCACAGTAACTGAAGGCCACAGATGCGAAATGAATAACAGCCACCAGCACTTAAGGTCTTCGCAGCCTTAGAGGAATTAACTGCTGCTTACCTTAAAGAGAAACTTATCTCCTCATCACAGCAATGGAGTTGGACTACATCTTGGACCCTAATCAGGTATCTGTTTATTTCAAATAGAGTCTATAAAGTCAAAAAATTAGAAGCATGTATAAACATTTTAAAACAAATACCATCACTGCAGAACCATTTTATATCCCAGAACATGCAAGTGTTGACTAGAACTTGGTTCAGTTTTGAAAAAGTGAATATTTTCATTGTTTATAAAACAGGCTTTCTTTAGAAAGACCACAATTGACAATAAAAACTTATTTGGGAATGTTGTCAAAGTTTTCAAACTACCAAAATTGGGCTGGGATTGTGGCTCAGCGGTAGAGCGCTCGCCTAGCATAGGCGGGACCTGGGTTTGATCCTCAGCACCACATAAAAATAAAGGCATTGTGTTGTGTCCATCTACACCTAAAAAAAAAAGTACCAAAATTATTTTTTGTAAACAATTTTATAGTATCAAAAACAAAGTGAAGGAGGGAGATTAAAAGGAAATTAGTAAGAAAAAGAAGCATGGGGCTGGGGTTGTGACTCAGTGGTAGATCACTTGCCTCACATGCTTGAGGAACTGGGTTCGATCCTCACCACCACATATAAATAAATAAAATAAAGATATTGTGTCCGTCTTTAAAATATCTTTAAAAAAAGAAAAGAAAAGGAGGCAAATGAAATGCTACAAATTAAGATGTCAAGCCTTTGTATTGATCTCTTGATCATGAGAATAATATCTTGGTATGTACAGTGAGTCAGAGATGAAGTTCTAGAGACTCTCTGACTTGCAAAAATTTGGGCTTTTGCTGTTCAACCAACTCTTTTCTTTCCATGCAGATTGAAATAATGACAAAAACTCCATCTAGCTCCCCCAGCTTGACCAAATAAAAATCATATCTCCAATCCACTGATACTTCAACATAATTCACATAGGGAGCTCCTACTGAATGCCAGACACCGGAAGACAGGTGAGTCAGTTCACACATGGTGGCTCTCCCAGCTATGTAAATAGAGGGTCTCGGTAACATATGTCAGGGATGGTCCAGGGCTGTGAAAGAAGGAAACAGCTCACAGCTGGAAATGTTAGGGAAACTGCATGGAGAAGAGAATGATTGATCTGGTTTTTAAAGGATGAATAGCATTTATCCAGTAGACTAGGAAAGGAAGGCAATTTCAAAGAAGAATTTGTACAAAGAACAAATGCAAGACAAATGAAGAAAGGCTACACTACCAGAGAATGGCAAGTACATTTGTGGTGTGATCCTTAGTAGGTAAGAGAAGGTAGGAGGACAAGTTGATAGTCAAGAGGTAACAGCTAACCACAAATAAGGACCCAAGACTGCAGAAAAGTGGTGGGATAGGGCCAAGGTCACGTGTGCCTCTTCTCATGGAGCATGGCTGCAGATAAGGAAGTTGTGAAATGTGAGAGGTTGCAGTGAGCCCCAGCAGCAGCAGACGTTCCATACATTAGCTGCAGTGGGATCTTTATGTTTTCTGCCAAAGATGAGATTATACTCACGAGCAAAGAATACATAAAATACATCAGAATACTTACAGGGCACCCCCAGATGATTCTCTGTATGTCTGACAGCTGCTCCTTCATTCTGATGTTTTCTTTCATCTAGAAAACAGACTGATTTTAGACCAACTAAAATTGTGACATTTTTAATCCTAAAAGAAAAGGATTAAAATATTTTTGTGGCACTTGGTGCATGGTTTGATACTTTACTACAATAAAAACTTAAATTTTCTGTACCTGCTGTTTTAAAACAGTGTTTTATTTTTTTAAACAAATTGTAATATGTAGTTGGATACAATACCTTTATTTTATTTGTTTGTTTTTATGTGGTGCTGAGGATCAAACCCAGGGCCTCACATGCTAGGTGAGTGCTCTATCACTGAACCACAACCCCAGCCCCATAAAACAGTGTTTTAAAAGGCAAGTAACATTACTATTTATGAAAGCATCCTCAGGGCTTTGATATGGTAACAGGAGTAACAGGTTATATTCAGCCCAGATTCCTATGTAGTAGGCACAATCGATGATGATGTCTACAACATGAGAGTACTGTACTCCAAGATGCCAATGTCTTTCAGATTGATTTCTGTACTTACTGAAGCAGGAAAACTAATTAATACTTTAAAAAGTAATTTCAGAATCAAAGGATTATACACATCATTCTTTCTTTTTGTTATCAAGAAAATAAAATTTTCAAACTTTCATTTTAGTAAAGGTTTTATTGTCATTGTACAGCTCTCTGAAAACATTCTATTCCATGTTGCTTGGGTTAGGATTGATGCCCTTAGTGTTCAAAACCATTGAATACATCTATCTATTTAATATTTAAAAGAACCAAAGACTACAAGAACACCACAGAAGAGAAGATATCTCAGGATCTTTGAGAGTGCCACAAAAGCATTGTGACATTTGTGAAAGACAGATGCTTATCAGCCACGAACCTGATCTATATAACCTTTGTATTTTTTGATTTGGCCAATTGCAGTGGTCAGGTCCCCACGGTCAACGTGTTCCGCAGCAGTATGAAGCCTCAGAGCATAGAGAAGATTCACATATTCATCAAATCTCCGAGATGGGAACAAAAGCAGCTCCGGCAGGCTGTATGAGGCACAGAGAAGGGAGCCTGGTCTCTGCTTGAAAATTGAGGAGTACCCTCTCCTTGGGACCCAACTGTGCTCTCCCTTGGAACTCACCTCAGCATTTTAGTAACAGTGGTCTTATCATGCCTCTTCAGGAAAGCTCGGAATGCTGGTGTCATTTCTCTGCACTAGAAGGGAACGACTGTCAAAACCTTGCTGTATGAGACAGCTGCAAAGCCTTCTGTTCCACCTGGTGAGTGATGACCTATGGAACACTCCAAGCAGGACAACATCTCCATCTATTCCAAGTACTAAAGGCACCCCCAGTGTCTCCTAATATATTAAGCAGAGTGTCTTAATTATATCATAGACCTAGCCCTAGCCATTGAACTTAATAAGACAAATAATAATAGACTTTTCAATGGGCCTGGATTAGAACTAGAATAAATCGACATTGTCAAGTTAACTTCTTTCACCTTTAGCTTTCTCATCTGTAAAATGGATCTCACACCTAATTTAGGATGAAGGGGATAATTCTGTCAATAAAGTACCTGTCATGCAGTAGAGGTTATTTCATTGTAGTAAGAACTTGACTAGTAATAATAGTCACTTTTAATACTGCTATTAATCATGTTTTCATAATATTATAAAAGCATTCTACTATATTTAATATCTGTTTTTAGATGTATTAATTCATTTCCTTTATTGCAACCATGAACTTACCTCCTTCCACTTAGTAGGTACATGTCTAAATGATATCAGCAGTGCTAATTTCTAAAAATTCTGATTTCGGTAATTACAGCTAACAATTATTGAATATATACATATACACTATGCTAGTGGAGCAGGTCTCATTGTTAAACATAACTATAAAAATTTTGGCACCAGTTTGTTTCTGGTAACATGTGTCTCTGCTCCAATTCTTGTCCTCAAGATCAGATCTATGAAATTGCCATATTCAAGTGCACTTTTGTCCAAAGAGCTGAACTCATCCGAGCCATATGGGATTGGGCTGGAGAATAGAATCAAAGCTCACAGTCTTTCTTCTACCTAATTGTTGAACATTCTCCTGTAACTGAGCCACAGGGGAGCCAGATAAGATGTAATGGGCAGTGTATATGAGGATTAGTCCAGTTCAACCTAGATAATGCTGTGTGTAAAGCAATGTCCTAGCTCTTTGTCAGGGTCCCTGTCCTCAGAGAGCTCACAGGACAGGAGAGAAGACCTAGGAGAGAAAGGCAGAGAAGCAGCCCTTCCTGTTAACTCTGGTCCTAATCAAAGGATGGATGACGAGTCAACCATTTACCTTCTCGATGGTTTTCAGAACAACAGGATAATTATTGAAGAAATTGGTGTATGTGTTCAACTGGCCTCCAAACTTTATGAATATTTCCCCCACACAGTGGGCTGAGCTCCATTCCTGTAGTCTGTCTCTTAGGTTATCTAGAAATTGCCTGCAATATGGGGAAAATATAATTGTGAATATAAGCCCATGATAGCTTGCAGACTTAATTGTTGCTAGTGTAGACTTTTGCGGCCTAGTCTTTTATGACGGTACTTGATTTTGATCAAGAACTTTTTTCTTAACATAGAGCAATAGAGATTTGATGGACCAGAAGTAGGGGTAAGGGTGTAAGGAAGTAGGCACGCTGTGGAAGATCCCTCTCTTTGTCCTAATTCCTGGAGTCAGAACTCAGGCTAGCTTCAATACAGCTGCCCCTGAATGTCCCACCTTCAGGGAACAACAACAGCTTAGACAGCTCCAACTCTAAGCACCATATGTCCCTGGGCCTCTAAGATAGTCTCTCCCAGCTGTCCCAGATCTTGAAAACTGGCAGAGGCCTACCAACCTCTTCATTTCATGGCAGCAGGGGCCTATAGAGGGTGGACAACTGGTCCCAAGTTACCTAAAGAGTCACTGTCAGAGCAGCATATGCTCAATTTTCTTACTTTACAACAGGTAGAGTGACTGTTCTCTCTCAGGTTATATACATGAAGCACATTTATTAAACTGATCTGTGTTGGGATTTCTGGGTAAAGTTCCCTATTACCTTGAGCCTGTTAAGTTCTTCTGCTCCTCTCTCCCTGATCAATTAAGATTTGCTGATTAAGAATGACTCCACCCAGCTCTCTTTCTGGTTGTCTTTTGTGCAAATATTCTCCTGATACAGAAAGCCCCAGCACTGGACTCTATCTTTGCACCTAGCCTGGACCTGGGGAGGAATGATCACTTCCAGTTGCAGCCCAGAGAGTGACGGGCTGAGGAGCCCTCCCCTCTGCAAGATGATCATTGTACCCAGGAGGAGCAGAGAAAGAGGTTCTGTACAGCTCTTGAGACAAAATGTAATTTACCTGTTGAGACTTAAAATCTGCAGAATATCAGAGAAAATTATCTGTATGTTTGCAGCACTCAGAATTGCTCTGTTTGATGCCAGTGCTGCTCTCAGTGGTCTCACATAAACATCCCGCACAATTTCCAGCATCTGCACATACTTTCTCTCACTCTGTAAGAGTTCCCTGGCAGCACTAGTTCGCTTATCTGCTGAGTTTCTCTGCAGCTTTCTCTCCTGTAGAAAGGCATTAAAAACTCATAGGAAAAGCATCATGACTCCAGCCCTCAAGAAGCCCTAGGAAGAGGCCAACACTAAGAACAATGAACATCCTAATTGTTTCTGTGGAGTGGTTTAAGATTGAGAGACTACACTGCTTAATGAACTAAGGAAAGTCTACAAGGAACCACGGGGTTTGTCGAAGTCCAATTTGACAGACAAATCTTCTCAGTCGCACCTAGAGGCTGAAGCTGCAGCAGATGGGAGGTGTCTCCTAAAAAAGGGAAACTGCTCTTCTCCAGAGGGAGTACTGTTCTCACAGGGAAAGAGCACTTCCTCAGCTGGCAGATGCCACTGGGCTTCACCACAACCCACTACTAAAGCAGTGTAGGTTTCCCTATTCTTTCAGCTTCCACTTTCCATTGCTTTATTAAGCATACAGTAACTAGGGTATATACACAAGCTTCCTCCTCCTCCTCCTTCCCCCTCCCCTCCTCTTCCTTCTCCTCTTTTTTAATTTGAAACTTTTTATTTGTTTTAATTAATTATACATGACAGTAGAATGCCTTTATGCACTTTGATATACATAGATGGGATATAATTTCTCTCCTCTTTTTTACTAAATAGGCAAAGGTATGTTTTGATTGACATCAAGTAGAGATGGAATGGGAGAAAAGCCCTTCTCCATGAGTAGCATATTCCTTCAGCTCTCACCTTTATATTACAGTAAATTATTTTGTTCTTACTGTTTTAACAAAACAACAGCAACAACAACAAATCCTTGTATACCTTGTTCTAGTGGAGAATTCTAATGTTTTTTCATTTATTGTTGTAAAACCAAGAACAATTTTGTAACTTTTTTTCCTACATAACTCTTACATGTAGGATAATCTGTCTTTCAGTAGGTATAGATTACTCATAAAAATGAATACTAAATAGCTCATTGATTATGGTTTAAACAAACTTCTTGTTTAAAATGGAAAACAAAATATGACAATATGAAGTATAAGGCTATGTGGTCTTCACTAAGATGAGCCAACCATAATTTTAAGAATTAAGACTGAAATTTATAAAGTAATTTTTTTTTAAAAAAATGAGAAAATACATTCTCTTTGAAATACTATAAAAACACTGCTCTGCTGGGCATGGTAGTGCACTCAGGTAATCCCAGTGGCTCCAGAGGTTGAGGTAGGAGAATTACAAGTTTGAGACCAGCCTCAGCAACTTAGCAAGGTTGTAAGCAACTTAGTGAAACTCTGTCTCAAAGTTTAAAAAAAAAAAATTTTTTTTTTTGAAGTCTGGGGATACAACCACAAGAATAGGATCCTAATTAGAATAAGTTATGTTCATGTATGTATAATATGCCAAAATACATTCTACTGTCATGTATATCTAAAAAGAACAAATTTAAAAAATAAAAAAGACTAGGGATGTGTCTCAATGGATAACCACCCCTGGGTCCAATTCCCCATACCAAAAAAACAAAAATCAAACAAACAAAAAACACTACTCTTGGTTACTTAAGTTTTATGTTTCAAACACATGGTCTGTGTGTAACGTCTATTTAGACATATCTAATAAATTAAAAAATACATCTGCATCTCAATCAGCAGTTGGTTTGCAACCTAGTTATATTTTTACGTATATTTACATATGTATATTATTTTAAACATTGGCGTTATTAAACGTTTACAATCATTGTGGCTTAAAGTGTCAACTGCCAAAGCTGTTGTTTCAAAGCTGTTGTCAGATGTTCTTTCCACAAGTCTTCTTTTGTTTTTTCCCAGTTTTTCTGACCTTAGGGAATTCATTTAACTTTTCTAACTCTAGTTCTTCATTTCTAAAAAATTTGGCTACTAACATCTACTCTACAGGCTTTTGAGAATGAAATATGATAACAAATGGGTACATGTGTTGAAGAATACAAAATGATATGTACATGCCACATATCCAGCAGGACAGGACCTCTAAGTTTATGCAACTTCTTTTATGTACTCTGCCTGTTTTACCCCAAAGGACAAAGCCCTAAACATTACATTGATTACAGTCAACATATGAAGTCAAACCACAAGTTGGTGGATCAGTTAGAAACTGTTTATTTCCATTTATCCATTTCTTTAAATGATATCTGTTATGGTTTGGATATGAGGTATCCCCAAAAAGTTTGTGTGTGAGACAAGGCAAGAATGTTCAGAGGTGGGACTGGGGATATAGCTCAGTTGGTAAAGTGCTTGCCTTGCATGCACAAGGTCCTGGGTTCAATCCCCGGCACCATACACACACACACACACACACACACACACACACAAAGTTCAGAGATAAATGATTGGATTATGAGAGTTCTGACCTAATCAGTAGATTGATTAACAGGTGGTAACTTTAAGCAGGTAGAGTGTGGCTGGAGGTCACTGGGAGTATGCCTTTGGAATTAGTATTTTGTCCCTGATGAGTAGAGTCTTATCTCTGCTTTTGGTTGCCATGTTCTTAGCTGCTTTCCTCTACCATTACCTTCTGCCATGATGTTCTGCCTCACCCGCCAACCAAGAGCTATAGAGTAGGCCAACTAGGGACCTGAACTTCTGAAACTGTGAATCAAAATGAAGTTTTCCTCCTCTAAGTTATTTTTGTCAGGTCTTTTGGTCATAGTGATGCAAAGCTGACCAAAACAACATCTAGTATTGGAAAATCATGATGGCACATACAGATTGGTTTTCTTAAAGATGTTCTGCTTTCTCTTTTTGGCTCAACTTCTTTTCAGTGCAGAGCTTAATTCAGGGGAGGAAAAATTTACCAGATGGATTCCCCTCAATTATACTTAGTGTTTTTTTTCTTTACTTTTTAAGGGAAATGTTCAAGGACAGCAAAGGACTAACCAGAATAAAGACTGAAGCTTCATTGTCAGGAGTAAAACAAATGGGAAATTCACATTATGTTATTACTGACTTACCAGCTTAAGCAGCACCTCAAAATCTAGATCACTTTTGTTGAGACTTGATTCTGTGTCCTGAGAGTTGTCTTCTATAATGTTTCTTTCCTGAAGATTAAATGGAACTTGATTATTTGGAGGTGAGCCTTGGGATCTCTGGAAAGGCAGTACTCTGCCCTAAGAGACATTGGGAAGCTATCTGCCCTAACCCGATTCCCTAATGAGAGCCTGACAAATATAATGCCTCTCTTAACTTAAAATTTGTGTTTGAAAAAACATATACCCTTTAGCTTCCTTTCAATGGCTTTCTACTTGGGAAACTAAAGTCATTGAACCTCATTCCCCCGGAAAGTAGTGGGGGTGTTTTGTCCTGAATTCAGGGGCTCCTTTCTGGCATAGAGTATTGCACATATCTTGGGCAACAGGCTTCTGCTTCAGTGCTGCTGTCACTTCACAGTAGGGGATAAGTAGGTTAGCTCACTTTTAAGATGCCAGAAGGAAAATAACACAACACTTTATAAAATTCACCTTTTTTTTCAACTAATTTTTTGCAAACATGTCATAAACAATTTGCATCCCCTTTCCAGACTTGTCCGTTTCCACATTTAAATATGGCTTATTCTTTCTTCACTTTTCCTTGTCAATTGTTCTTCTTGTGACCTCCTTACAAATTAGCACATTAAATTTACCCTCCCCGACATGCCTGCAGCATCCCAGGGCTCACTCTAGCTAAGAAACCAGTGGACCTGTATTTAATTTGAGAAATAATCATGACAAATGGTTATTATTGTTGCCCTTCCTAATCAAAAATAAACGTACCAGGGCTGACCCCGCTAATGTCCAGGCAAGAAAAACATCAATTTGTTCCCAAGTTGCTTTTGTCTTACTCAGGCAAAAGTGAATTTTTATTTCATAGCTACAGGGTTCCTTATGGCAGCCTGAATTCTTTGTGAGGGAACCCTGGTCCCTGGACTGCAGCCACCAGCTCTCTTCTTATTTTGCATGATATGCCACCTGAACCTGGCACTTGTCTACTCAGAGAGTCTTTCAGTCATTTCCTTTGTCCTCCCCATGTGTGGTGACCTGTGCCAGTCTGGTATGTATTTACACTTTCACTGGGGGATTGTGCTCCCACCACCACCCTGTGTGCACAGTGGGGCTTTGTTCCATTTCTGGCTCAGCAGCAGCTATTTTTCTTCAAATATAAATTGTTCTTTGAGGATAGGGAAATGATTTGGTGTAGTAATTTTGTTTAAACCTAAAATAACAACTTTTCTCATTTTATATTTTAAGTTATAATTATTAGGATTTTTAGAGTCTATTTTTAAAAATGAATATGCTACCCCTTATTTTGTTTTTTAGGGATGAATTCAGAGGCAGTAGCAGAGGCAACCAACTTTGCAAATATGTAAGAAAGTCATTATTTTGTGTTGGTGGGCCTTTTCCATGGCTCTCTCCAGGACCTATAGGACTACCATAAGAAATAAGCTCACAGGGCTGGGCCTCCATCATATGACAGTAATTTTCCTCTAGGATAGAGTGCAAGCAGGCAGTGTGTTTTCCAGTCTAGACTTGGCTAATGCTTTTCCAAGAAGACACTATGCTGCCTGCACCAGGGGCCAGAAATAGTTGTGGAAATGACAAGTAGAGCTCAGGAATAACTATGATTCTAGCTGCATGACCATCACCAAGGTTGCATCGTTCAGGGTAAACACCACAGGCCCACAAGGACCAGAAGTAACTGCTGATTGGACATCAAGATGATAGTGGATAGGTGGATGGATAGGTGGATATATAGATAGAGAGATGGATAGATAGATAATAGGTTGGTAACAGAATAGATAGGTGAACTAGGAAGATGATAGGTAGATAGAGGGGGAAAAAGAAAGGAAGGAAAGAAAAGAAAGACATATGGAGTCCTGAATTTGACAGACAGCCCTGTTACACAGGACTTAGGGGAGGTTCTTGAGAACAATCATCTTAGAGAAGCTACTATTTCTACTCCTATGGCTGAAAGTTTGGGTGCTCTTTGGTAAAAACAGTCAGGTTTAAAAACACACCCCAAGATGTAAAGAAAGTCAGATTCTCTATTTTAACGTAAGTCAGCACTTATGTTTAAACTGGGTTTTTTTTTTTCCTCTAAAGAGTGCCCAAGTTTGTTTCATAAACCTGTGAACAACATATTAAATGTTAAATAATAAAAACAAAATGAGAATCTAACACATATTATTTCTAACTTGACATTAAAAAAGAAAAGCTATTAAAGAGATTCTGAGGTGTCAGGGTGATCCTTGTTGATGCAGTTTTATTACAGGCAGATGACAGAAGGAGAGTAACCTGATTTCCAGCAACAGGCAGCTCCAAGCCCACACTTCATGCATTATTTTATTAACATGACTAGATGTTTCAGTCAACAGTAGGTTGACAAGACTTGACTCCAGTGTGGATTTTATTTGGCAGAAGAAATTTAAGAAAGATCAAGGAGGAAAGCATCTTTGAAAGGAATTGTTCTGGTGACCAGTGCTGTAGGTGTAGAGATTCCACAAGTAGTTCTCCCAGTAGTTAGGTCTTTAACATGTAAAAGTGACACTTCAGAGGAGGAAGCATGTACAGATTTGTCCTTACTGCTTTCTTCAAGTTTGCCTGCTTCATAGGCAGGTATTATTGGGTTGGTAGTGGGTAAAAGAAACTCCAATAAAGTTTCCAGGGAGTCAGGATCACCCAAGTCTCATAAGGACTTTGAGAGACTTTGAAACCTGTGTGATACAGTCACATGTGGGTCATGTGAATGAAGGCAAAATGAGTAGGATTATTTTTAAATGGCTTTCCCAGGCGGAAAGATAGATACAGACTAAACACACACCCAAATCTCAGAGAGGTGGCTGCCCTGACAAGGCAAAAGCAGCAGCCTCTGAGAAGTGGAAAAGGGGGTGTGCATGAACAGCCAGCCCTGGTGTGTCCCCCAGCCTGCACATTCTGTTAACCACCACCACTTACCATCTGCTGTGCTGCTGTCAGCCACTCACAGAGACTGTGTCTCATTGAGCTCTCTATTCCCAGAATCTAGCATGGCACCTAGCAAATGGTTAGCTCCTGTAATTATTAGGAAACTGAACTGAAAAGAAGGGAGTTGTTCTCTGCCTAAGAAGTGGTCTAGGAGTGTTTCCTGAAAAAAACATACTTAGCCTGGGCAGTGGGCCAGCAGAGGTCCATCCTAAAAAGAGTTTAGAGATCCTGCAATATGTTTGTTTATGACTCCTCTCAGGGAGATGATTGGGTTTGGGAAGAATAAGGAATTTGGCGGGGAACAGAGGTGACTCAATCTCAGTTGGGTGGGTTTTAATAATTGAGATCTTTTGTTTTGCTAAGTCAGTCCAGGGCACCTTAGCAAGAGGGGATACTTCCCTGAAATCCTCCATGTCTGCTGGCACTAAGCTATCCTTGAACAAAGCACTGACAAATACTTTCAGAATATTGGGTTAATAAAGCAACAGATGATTCACCTACTAAGGAAACCCTCACAGCTATTCCTACTAACAGTCTAAATGGCAAGTTGTGTTGTGGGACTTAGGCCTTCAGATACCAAAGATGGGTGACTTTTCTTTGAACATAAAAATGGTTCTAATATAACCTTTTACCCTATCTAGAAATCAGCTCTGTGAATGACAATGTGATTCTCAGTGTTTCCTGAATCCTGATTATTTCATGTAACAAAGAATGTGTGGATTTTGAGCTCAGTACTGCCAAAAGTATTTTTTTTTTCCTGAAGAGCTAGCTTTAAACCTAAATTTTTTTCTTTTATAAATATGAATCTCAACCTAAGAAAAAAATTCTCTGGCTCCCCCCCTCCCAAAAAAAAAAAAAAAAAAAGTTTAAATGAAAAAAATAATTCAAGTTATCTTAGGACCCAACAACAGAATAAGCAACAAGATAAAATGCAAATTTCCAATTTTTTTTATTGTACTTTTCTCCCACAACCAAGTATTGTTACTCAAGCAGTTGAAATGGCTTAAATGCTACTCATGCTAGGGAACAACAAAATGCCTTTTTTAAAAACAGTCCATCAAAATCATAGAATTTGCAGGGAAATGGACGGCATTAGAGCAGATTATGCTAAGTGAAGCTAGCCAACCCCTAAAAAACAAATGCCAAATGTCTTCTTTGATATAAGGAGAGTAACTAAGAACAGAGTAGGGATGAAGAGCATGAGAAGAAGATTAACATTAAACTGGCATGAGAGGTGGGAGGGAAAGGGAGAGAGAAGGGAAACTGCATGGAAATGGAAGGAGACCCTCAGGGTTATACAAAATTACATACAAGAGGAAGTGAGGGGAAAGGGAAAAATAATACAAGGGGGAGAAATGAATGACAGTAGAGGGGGTAGAGAGAGAAGAGGGGAGGGGAGGGGAGGGGAGGGGGGAATAGTAGAGGATAGGAAAGGCAGCAGAATACAACAGACACTAGTATGGCAATATGTAAATCAGTGGATGTGTAACTGATGTGATTCTGCAATCTGTATATGGGGTAAAAATGGGAGTTCATAACCCACTTGAATCAAAGTGTGAAATATGATATATCAAGAACTATGTAATGTTTTGAACAACCAACAATAAAAATTTAAAAATAAAAAAAATAAATAAAATAAAAACAGTCCATGAAAAATGAAGTTCTGAGGAGAAATGACAAGTTGAAAGTTTTCCAGGAAAAGCTAGCATTATTACTTACTAATTTCTTCCCCTCATGTGCCTAAAACTACAGTAAACAATGGCATCAAGATGCAACTTTACCTTTGTGAACAAATCAAGTGTTTCTTTTAGGTCACATTTTGTCAGAATAACATTTCCTTCATCTTTGCTCTTTTTACTACATTTCTTCAGCAGAAAACATGCCAAAAATTCCAGAGGCCTTTCCTGAAAAATGCCCCCCCACAAAAAATACAATTTAAAGCATTCATCTGAAATATGAGTAATCAAGGGTACAGCAGAAAAGAGAACACTTTTTAGCCAAGTTTTCAGATTTCTACCTAATTAATGTATATATCCAGAAAAAAAATAACTCTTATAGTGGGCAAATGGGACTTTCTAATTAATTTCATTCTGGCTATAATATATGCTCCTTGTTCTTGGCTTTTTGTCACAATGTGATTAGCAGGTCAACTTCTTGTGCAATGGTCTTTCAAGATCTTCATACCCAAAGTCGTCCACACCAACCCCTTGGCCAAAAGAGGACAGGGAGCAGGAGGGATTCTGCTGTCTCTCAGGGAAGGAGGTCGGCCTGGGAGAGAGGCAGCAGCGGCAGGGTGGCTAGGAAACACACCCTGAGGCTCCGCTCTCACACTATGGGCTTTCGCACCCTCAAAATTATATCACACATAATTCTTTTTTAAGTAATTAGTGGCAATAAGTTTTCTGAACCTACACCAAACATGTTTAGCAATTCTTTGGTGTTTGAGAGAAAGTGCAGTATCTTTCCAGGCCTCCAGGGCCAGCTCTGTGAACATCCCTGCTCATTTTAGCAACAGAGCTCACCAGGGTCTTAACTCACTGGGCTGGTGCACCTTGACTTAAGTACTGCGAAGCTAAGCCTTCAGAGAAAACAAATCACAGCTAACTGCAACTCCACGCAGTACAGCTAAGCCTGTATAATGCATAAGTCTGGTGCTGATCCAGGAAACCATCTAGAAATCAGAGGAGATGCCCAGTAACATGGAGACAGAATGTGTGCAAAGACAATATGCAATTCACCCACAAACTAGCGTGACCACAATAGAAGAGGACTGGAGAAACTTCTCTTGGAAACTGAAGTTTAGACAGTGTTGAGAGTCAACATCATTCTTATTTCCAGTGGCCCCCAAACAGCCAGCAGCACATTTCATTTTCCCTGAGCCTCACTATCATCTTGAGGGGAGAAAGAGGGAAACTTCTGTCTAACTTCTCCTCATTGTCTTCTGAAATGTGGACTGACTTTCCTGCCACAGCATCCAAGATTTGGTTTTAATAAGAATACTTCTTTGGGTTCCGCAGACCTGCCACCAACCAAATTGCTGATTTGTTTATTTCTATTCCTTTGTGTTTTCTTTCCCATCCCCTCATCTAACCCCCTCGTCCTTCACCTTTCTATGTCTGGTTTCACACATTTTTCCCTTATACTAATGATTGTTTTCACTATGTGAAATATATATTGTGTTGTATAAAATTAACATCTCTCTTAAAGAAGTCACTTCTGACTGAAATTAAGCACAAGACAAAATAGTGCACAGTATATTTTAAGTATCCAGAATATGTTCTTGGCCTAGAACATATTCTGGATACTTAACACATCTCAGGCCTAGAATCTCTCCATGGCTAGTTTTATAAACTGATATAATTTCTCTAAGAAATTATGGTTTAAAAATGATAAGTCCAAGTTAAGAATTTAAGTATTGTGGGTTTTCTGGTTTGCTTTCTTCAGTGAAACACTTACAGAATTTTCTTTTGACAGCTCCATCAGACCATCTGCCAGAGCTTGTGCAATGTCTTGGTTATTCAGAATGCTTGTCATACTCATGGAGTCAAACATAAATTGCCCTGTAAATACAAGGTCCATGTGTCCTATAATTAATTTATGTAAGATATGCAAACAAAAAGGAAAAAACTCAGTCCTCACTGCTGCTCTTTAGTTGGACAAACAAAAATGCAAAGAATAGAAGTAAAAATTTTTATAAGTCCATAGGAAAAAAATATATTTTAAATAGAAGTAAAAATTTTTATAAGTCCATAGGAAAAATATATTTTTTAAATTTTAATTTATGTTTAAATACATCTTTTAATTTTTTTTGGTATTTGAACAACTTGCTTTTATTTGAAAACAAGTTTTTTTCATTGGCTTATCACTGCCTACATATATCATCAAAAACATACTTCTATAATCCCAGCAACTCAGGAGGCTGAGGCAGGAGGATTGGAAGTTCAAAGCCAGCCTCAGCAACTTATTGAGATCCTGTCTCAAAATAAAATATAAAAAGGGCTGGAGATGTGGTTCAATGGTTAAGTACCACTGGGTGGGTTCAACTTTTTTTTAAAAAATTCTATCTTTAAAAATCTACCTTTTGGGCTGGGGATATAGCTCACTTGGTAGAGTGCTTGCCTCACATGCACAAGGCCCTGGGTTCAATCCCCAGCACCACACACACATAAAAAAATCTATCTTTCCATTTTTCTGTCTGGTCTTTATATGTGTGAAAGAACCAGGGGAAATAATTACTTCCTGTGATTAATTTCATAAGTACTTAAAAACATTGCTGGACACCTCCCAAAGTACAAGAAAATAAGAGGAAAAGCCCTGTGTTAATGGGAGGCATTTACAAAGAGATGTAGAACGTTTATTGATGGATAAAATACCTGTGTGCACAGGTGTTACTGCTCTTGTGCAGACAGTAGCTATGTAAATAGACATTTAATCAGGGGAGGAAAGGGAATAAAGGAATACAGCCATAATGACTACAGTGATATAGGGCTTTAATCAGATGGAAAGTACTGGGAAAAATTGAAAGAGGTTATAAATGAAGCAGAGGGGAATTTATCTAGATGATGAAAAAGACTTCATTTTAAAGAATGGACTGATCTAGTTGAAGATTCAAAGCTGACACACTAAGTTGTTCTCCAGGGACGATTGTGATATTTTGATCATGGGAATGGAGTCTGAATGGGAAAATAAGTTAAGAGATGTCCACCAGGCTCTGCAAATTGGAGCTATCACCAAATTATATCATTTAGATAGATAGGAAATAGAACTTAAACTTTAGAACAATTTATATAATAGGTGCAGTAATGTAAAAGTGGCTTAACTAGGATGTTAAGTGCCAGGTGTTAACTTTTAGAGCAAACTGGTCTGGCTCCGCAAACAGCAGATTTGGTCTAGGCCAAATTGACAGACACAGGAATTAATAAGATGGTATATTTTAAAAACAGAAACCATGGATATACTTTTTTCTTAGTAGGTATTCATTATTTGAAACAAAATATAAAAAAGGGGATAAATGTTTTACTGAAGATGTTCAAGAGTTAAATTTTGCTTGTACCATTCCTAATGAACTTCATAATGCACCTGCGTTAGAAGCTGCCAGTGTACTTACCTATCATCCTGCCACTGATGCCCTTCTGCAGCTCCTTGAAGAGAGGTCTTAACTCTCTCCTCACTGATTTCAAGGCATCTTCCAGGAAGTCTGTGAGGTTGGACCACATCTGTAGCTTGGCTTCATTGAAGTAGATGGAAGGAGGAGGCCCACCCTGCTGAGGTCCCAGCCAGTCACTAAGAACTAACATTATTTTTTCCTTTTATTATTGTGGAGTTGAGCTCAGATGAAAAGATTCTACTTCTTGTTTAAAGTATAACAAAGCCCCAATTGTACTAGGTTTATATCCTTCCCCATTAGAAGACCAAGATGTTAAGAGTAAGATTCAAAACTCAAAAGGACATAAAGAACCATTTTAAATGCCTGTCTATTCATCATAGAAAGGTTGATATATTCTACTTGAAATCAAAAATTAAATAGCTACGGCATGTGCATTGGGAAGCAGAGCAGTCAGTTTAGCAAGAATGTATTGCTTTATCTATTCATCTTAAAAGTGAAAGTACTAGAAAATTCCATTCATCATTTTCCATTCCCCATCATGCCATACAAAGCCAACCCTGTATCTTTCTTAAATTAGGACAAACTGCTATCTCTTTCTGCAAATATCCCCAGTGGGTGCTTTAAATAAAGTTTCCTTGAGGACTGGGAATGTAGTTCAGTGGTAGAGCTCTTGCGTCTCATGTGTGAGGCACTGGATTCAATCCTCAACACCACATAAAAATAAATAAATAAAATAAAGATATTGTGTCCATTTACAACTAAAAGATATTTTAAAAAAGAAAAAGTTTTCTTAAAAAGCAAGACTAGAAGATGCAGGGTATGATAAATCTGCTTTTTCTGTCCTTAATGGAGAGATAATCTTACTTAGGTTGTTTACCAAAATTTCATTGATAAATGTGAAATTTTTTATAATAGGTTCTTTTATAAGGAGAATGAGAAAAAGAGAGGGGAAAGGAGGAGAAACCAGAGGAAGGAGAGGCAGAGGAGGAGGAAAAGAAGAAAGCCTGTTCCACACTGTAAACGACAGTGCCCACGCCCTGCTCTGCCCAGCTAGGCCGATTCCTCTCGCCATGGGGCTGTCATAGGGTGGTGTTGTTATTTGAACTAAAATTAACAAGTAATTTCTGCTTCAAAACTATAAAACAATGTGCTTTTTGTTACCTCCGCACAGAGTCCTTTCCCTTACAAGTTTCCCAATCATGCCAACTTTCCTAGTCTTGAATGGCCCCTGGCATTTGGGGAATAGAGAAGTAAAGCTCTATATAGTTTCTCCATCATCCCCTGTTAATAGAAAGCAAGGGAGTTTTAAAGGGAAAAAATGACTCATGTTACTGTAGCAAAGCAATTTTGTTCTCTTGTTTTTCAGCCAATATTACATTTTGATCTAATGTTTGAAGCTTTAGAATCTAGATGAAAGTTTGCTTTCTAGTATATTTTCTCTTTGTTTCTCTTCTCAGATAATGCTACTGAAATGGGATCTAAATGGGACTCTGTTAACACCTCCTTATAGCTACAGTTTTGTTTTTCCAAAGAAACGCATTCTGATTACATTTTACCAAGAAAAACTATTATTTGTACTTATTGTTTTTTCTAGATCAGCAGCTATACATCTTGCTTAACTCTTGCTGGTGATAATTTCAACCAAGATTTTGTAAATGATTTCTTGAAGGAAAATATTTGTAATAAATAATCCCCTCTAAACAAAAGACTCAGTGATATGAAATTACATATTTTGTGGAATGATAGCATTCCTTTAGAGAAGGGATGAAATGCAGATGTTGACATTGGCCACGGCATGATTATCAAGTGTTCTTGTCTTCTAGTGATCCTGGAGTCGGTGTATGTTGTTGGGCATAGTCACCAGTCATAAGCACTTACTGTGTTGGTAAGAGCCAGTTGCAATCCCAGTGGGGGCAGTAAAGAATGTGCCAGTTAGTTGAGACAGCTGAGAGAGCACTTCTATGCCTGCCTCTGCATAGCCAAAAATACTTGTATTAGTTTACTCACAGGTTTTACCAGGTATTGTTAAATACCACTTAGAAGCACAAAGGGCTCAGCCAAGAAAACTCACTAGGAGTTGTCACCTTTGATTCAAATCCTGCCTTTAAATAGTCCATTAAAACTTCATGTTTAGCTGGGCATGGTAGTGCGCCTGTAATCCCAGCAGCTGAGACAGGAGAATTGTGAGTTCGAAGTCAGCCTCAGCAATGGCGAGGCATTAAGCAACTCAGTGAGATCCTGTCCCTAAATAAAATACAAAATAGGGCTGGGGAAGAGGCTCAGTGGCCAAGTGTCCTGGGTTCAATCCCTGGTACCCCCCCCCCAAAAAAAAAAAAAAACTTTATGTTTCACCCCTTAATACTGAAGCTCAACCCTTTAGTTCATTAAGACTAAACAGTAGAGTGGGGAAAGAGGGCAAGGAGCTGGGCACAGTGGTTATTTATAAATTTGGAATTCTCAGCCCAAAGACAGGGAAAAGCTACATATATTTTTAAAAATAGTCTGACTTAAAGGAGAGTTCTCATTGTAAGAGGACAGACATAATTAAAATACAAATCAATACAGGGCCAAAATTTAGTTTCCTCCCTACCTCAATGACACAGCATATAGATCAGATTATTGAATTTAGTGTATAGATTGAATCATTTGGAATAAAATAATGTAACGAGTAATGCATTTTAGTCCTTTGTGGACCAAGAGTAAATATTTACTTCAAACTGTTCAATTACTGTTTGGAACAAGATGAGAGAGGTGGAAGTTTAGATGCTTCTGACTTACTGACGGCTAACGTTTCAAGTACAGAATCCAAGTGTGGACCTCCATGCATGGAGTCAACTGACTTCAACAAATATGCTAATGAAATCACTGTGGAGAGAGCAGTCTTTAAAAGGAACGGTGCTGGAAAACTTAGATATCCATATGTTAAAAAAATTTAACCTCAACCCATGCCTCATAGTCTACTAAAAAATAAATCAAATGGGTCACATACCTAACTGTCAAATTAAAACTATAATTAATCAAGTCCTACAAATCATAGGGGAAAATCTTTATGACCTATGGTTAAATGAAGAGTTTTTAGATATGATACCAAAGGCATGATTTATAAAATTAAAAATGATAAATTTGATTCATCAAAATTAAGAACTTCTACTCTTCAAATGAAACCATTCAGAAAACAAAAATATTAGTCACAGACAGAAGAAAATAAACAACATTGTTTTTCGAATATGTAAAATATTTGAACAGAAATTTTACCAAGGTAAGTGAATGGTAAATAATTACATGAAAAAATGCTCAGCATCATGAGTCATTAGGAAACTGAAAATTAAAAATACAATGAGATAGGCCAGGCAGGGTGGCCCAAGGCCCAAGTGACTCAGGAGGCTGAATCAGAAGGCTTGCAAGTTCAAGGTCAGCCTCAGCAATTTAATGAGGTTCTATGCCACTTAGCAGAACCTGTCTCAAAATTAAAAACAAAAATGACTGGAGATGTAGCTCAGTGGTAAAGGTCCCCTGGGTTTAACCCCCAATACCCACCCCACAATTCGACAAGATACCACTACACATTCATTTGAATAGTTAAGACAGCTGACCAGATCAAGTACTGGAGCATTGGGCAACTGGAGTTCTCATATATTCCTACTGGAAATGTTAAGTGGCATAAGTAAGTAGTTACTCTGGGAGATAGTTTAGCTGTTTTTAAAAAAGTTAAGCACACACTTATCATGTGACCCAGTCATTCCACTCTTAGATATTTATCCAAGAGAAATGAAAGCATATGTTTACAGCAACTTTAATCCTAAAAGCCAAAAACAAAAAAGAATTCAAATTTATATCAAGAGATAAATGAATGTGTCTATCTGTTAATAGATTATGAAGTTACCTACATAATCTGTCATTGTCTATGATTATGGTGTATCCATGAAAAGTAATAATTCCCAGGAGTAAAAAGAAATGAGCCATTGATTGCATTCAGTGGATGAACCTAAAATAATTATTCTCACTGAACGAAGTTGGACCAAAAAAATATATGCTACATGATTCCATTTATAGAATATTATAAAAGATGTAAGTTAATATTTAGTGAAAAAAAAGTATATCAGTAGTGGCCTCAGGTTGGGGAGAGGAGAAGCAGGAGAGAAATTGTTGATGTTGGGTTGATGATCATGTTCATCTCCTTGACTATTTTATGATCACAGGGCAGGAATACACAAGTCAAAATTTATCTAATCATACACTTTTAAGTATATGTGATTTATCGTATATCCACTACTCTTCTATGAGCTATATAAAAATCAGGCACGGTTGTGTACACATATCCACAAATGAGAAGCAAGCAAAGAAGACCTAGAAGAAAGGTCACTGAGGTGGGAGGGAAACAAGGAGAGCATGGTATTAGAGAAACCAAGAGGAGTGTTTTGAGCAGGCATGTTCCTCTGCATCAAATGCTTCCAAGAAGTCTAAGCAAGGGATGAGAAGGAAGGGACCACTGGGATTTGAGTACATGAAAGTCACTTCTAGCTTCCAAAAAGGCAGAAGTGGGTAAAGAAGAGACAATCAGTATAGATCAGTAGGTCACAAAGTGGGGCTGCAGCAACATCTCAGGGGAACCTGTTAGAAATAAAAATCCTCCAGCCCCAAGACCTGATGGGACCAAAAACTCTAGGGTGGAGCCCACTGATGTGTATTTTAACAAACCCTCCAAGTGATTCATATATAGACTGAAGTTTGAGAATCACTGAGGTGACTATACTTAAAAAATGATGAGGGAAAGTTTGTCTTTTTGTTAAAGACAGGGAGATGCTAAAGATGCTCCTGATTTTTTAGGGAGCATATGACAGAGGGAGAATTGAGGCTCTGGGGAAGGAACTGAGTGTGGGATTAAAGTCTACAGGAGAGTGATAATGAGGTATTGAGTGAGCGGCCGATCTTTGGGCAGGGGCCCTTCTTCCATGGTAAAATATGGGAAGAGTAAGAATGAAGACAAGGGCGGGAAAGGTGGTGGGAGGAAAATTAGGGAGTTTCCAAATGATTCAGCTTTCTTAGGAAAATAAGAGGCAAGGTCAACACAAAGAGATGGGTTTTGAAAGACTGCCTGGAGAGAAAGGATGAAATTATCATCTCAAAGAGTGGGACAATGAATCTACCAAGGAAGTATGGAAAGATTGCTCATCAGTGTTGCTATCACACTTGATATTGATGTCATCCCAGTAGAGTTGGACTGGTCAGAACAATGCTATTACTTTCCCCAACCATCTTCAGCTGCTTTAATGCAACTGGGTGTAGTGTATGCCCATGGTTTATTGTAAACCAGCATTGGTATTTACCAGGAGAAAGAGGCAAGGAAGTTCCAAATCTTTGCAAGGGTGTGTTGAAATGTGGGATCATTAAATCCAAGTTCATCAAGGGAGGGACCAAGGAGGATGGAAAGGCAATAGAAGGGAAAAGTGGGAGTGTGTGGACTCGAGGGCTTCAGGAAAAGAATTGCTAAGTGGGAATATTTGAGCACATGATTTAGAAGTGGGAATCAGAGACAATTGCTGCAGTCACAGCTCATGGGGATAATAAGCTCAAGAGTGATGCCAGAAGCCAGGTGTGGTGGGGGCACCTGTGGTCCCAGATGCTCAGGAATCTGAAGCAGGAGGATCACTTGATCCCAAGAGTTTAAGACCAGCTTGAGCAACTTAGCAAGGGGGGAAAAAGTGATACTTAAGATGGGAGGAGGCATATTTTGGAGGACAGATATTTGTGGGTCTTCAATGGTTCATCTAGGAAATATTGTATTTGATGAGAATTTTAGGGATGTTGTTAGGGCCCAAAATGTAAGAAATGTATTTTGGGGGGGTATCATTAAGCTTAACTTAAGATGATATTTATATTGATAAATCCTCTCTTTGTTCCTCACCTTTCCATATTGTTGCTATTTCTTCTTCTCCAGTTAAAAATTTTGCTCTTGTAGGCTGACATTGTAGCTCAGTGGTAGAGCACTTGCCCTGCATCAACAAGGATCTGGGTTTGATTCCCAGCACCACAAAAATTTGTTTGTTTTGTTATCATTATGAAAGTAATATTGTTTTGTTCTAGAATATAGGGACAAACTAATTATTTTTAAAAGTTTAAAAAAAGATAAAAACTCAGCTATCATTCTATTTGATTTCTATTAGCATTGTGTACACATTCTTCCAGACCCTTTTCTATCCATACACCATCACCACCCTGTCCACCTCTCATGCACAAATGTCTTAAACAGTGGGATCAAACCATCCATGTCCTTTGTAACCTATCTTTTAAAAGTGGTTTCTAAAGTAGGGAATTTGTAAAGCACATATAGAAATGGATGCTGCTTGCCAATATTTTGGTACATTTCCTCCTAGGTTTTTCTATATATATTTTTCTATATATATATATATTTTTTTCTGTATGGTTCACATTGTGTGTGTGTGTGATAACTTTACAGAGGTAGTTATTTATAATTTTTGTACATTATTTTGTACATCTCGGCGGGGGGTACTGGGGATTGAACCCAGCCCATCATTTTTTATTTTTTATTTTGAGACAAGGTCTCACCAAGTTGCTTAGGGCCTCATTAAGTTGTTGAGGATGATCTTAAACTTGTGATCCTCCTGCCTCAGCCTCCTGAGTTGCTGGGATTACAGATATGCACCACCACACTCAGCACCCAGCACTTTGTTTCATTTTTTATCCCTCTCCATCTTTTTCATTTTTCCTTCCCTTTGCATGTATTAAATAGTCCTGTGAAATTTGAGGATTAAAGCTGAGTGTGGTGGTGCACACCTGTAATCCCAGTGGCCTTGGAGGCTAAGGCAAGAGGACTGTAAATTCAAAGCCAGCCTCAGCAACTTAGCAAGGCTCTAAGCAACTCAGTGAAACCCTGTCTCTAAATAAAAATACAAAAAAAAGACTGGGATGTGGCTCAATGGTTGAGTGCCCCTAGGTTCAATCCCCAGTATTAAAAAAAAAAAAAAGGTTCAAAACTCACAGTACTTTCAAGAATGACAAATAAGAAGCATTCTGAGAAATTTTAATTTCATGCTCCCTCTCCTCTTCTCTGCTTCATAAATTCCAGACAGGTGGGCCACTTTACTGATCACCAACCATGCTTGTTTTTATAAAGCACTTCACTGTTTTTAATATTATCTATTTATTTTAATTTTTATTATTCAAATATTTATATTTTTAACATATTTTTACTTGTATTTGAACACAATACCTTTATTTTTTTTATTTATTTATTTATTTATTTATTTTTAGGCAGTGCTGAGGATCAAACCCAGCGCCTTGCATGTGCTAGGTGAGTGCTCTATCACTGAGCCACAGCCACAGCCCAAAATATTTACATTATTTTTATATTTGCAAGTCCTTATGGTCAGGTAAGTTACTAACTCCTAATTTCTGTGTGAGGAAATAGCCACAAACTTGCCTGTGGCCACACAGCTAACAAACAGCATGGGCAGACTCAGGTCCAGGACCTTGGTCACCAAGGTCATGTTCATTCAAGATTCTAATCACTGAAGGGGCAGTTTTCCTCAGACTGTTGATAATTGTTCCTCTGCTGGCCAGGTACCTTCCCCCATATTATGGATACTGATTTTTGTTTCCAGAATAAATAGAAATGATGCTGCTGAGTCTTACCAGACGTGACTATTTCTGCAGAGACAGGTTATTCTGATCACTATCCCCAAACCCTTCTTTCCTGGGTATATGTCATATAAAGAAAAGTAAAAGTGAAGTGTGACTGAATCATTTGCTCTACGAGCACTTCATAAATTCACAGAGGAACATCATAAAGTACGTGTGACCACTTCTTTCTACGGTATGTCAAAAGCTCACCTGATGCTCCAAGAGGCACAAATAAGTCCACATGACCCCCTTCTTCTTTGGTGGCTACAAAGCTGCCTAATTTCTCCCAGAAGTCTCTCACTTCAGGCCTCAGTAAATTTTTAATACCAATTTTATAGCCTGAGGGGGACAAATCAAAATGTCATATTAGTTTGTGAAATTATCATGAACAGCAGTGTGCAAACACAGATTCAAAAAGCCAACATCTGCCCATAAGACCAAGATCTCCGGACTTCATGCTGCACCACGTTCAGGCCACTAAGATGCCACTGGACACCCCCATGGCAGAGTATCCTTCACACTGTGGAACAACTGGACATGGTGTGTTTTGGCTTTGGGCTTTGCATTTCTGCCTCCACCTTGCAGCGGTGTGAGTCACCAGGCTCACACAGAGTTCACAGGGAATAGCCGGTCAAGTCCTGGGGGATCTTGCAACCAAGTTCCAAAGTCAAAATGCTTCCCACAATTATCAATCAACACATAAGTAGTTCAGAGCAGATGTAAGGCTCCCAGAGTCAGCAAACATTAACTGCCACTCTCCTCTGCTTCACTTCCTGGGAAGTGATTCAGGGACTCACTACACCATTTTGTGAATTTCCTACCAGCTGGATCTTTGATCATCTTGTTCCCTCCTCCCTCAAACCACAAGGATGGAATATTTGATGACAGTAAATCCTTTTTTAGGTATAGGCAGGGGAGAATTCAAGATCTATAAGGGAGAAAAGAAACTAGAAATTTACTTCTAAAACTCATCATTTCTCCCCAGCCCCTAAAAGGGTGACTGTTAGCCTAGCATGGTGGCACATGCTTATAATTCTAGCAATTTGAGAGGTTGAGGCAGGATAATATCAAGTTTGAGGTCAGCTCCAGGAACTCAATGAGACCCTGTCTCAAAATAAAAAATAAAAAGGGCTAGGTATGTACCTAAGTGATAGAACACCCCTGGGTTCAATCCCAAGTACCACACAAAAATATATATGTAGACATATTTAGATACATAGATATAGGTAGATAAATCGATAGAGACACCAATGGCCAAACATCACTCATCACTCAATATCAGAGCAATGCCAGTCAAAAACAATGAGGATGGGTATTATTCAAAAAAAGAAAAGAGCCAGGTGCAGTGGTACACTTTGGGAAGCTGAGGCAGGAGGATTGCGAATTCAAAGCCAGCCTCAGCAAAAGCAAGGCACTAAGCAACTAACTCAGTGAGACCCTGTCTCTAAATAAATATACAAAATAGGGCTGAGAATTTGGCTTAATTATCTAATGCCTCTGAGTTCAATCCCTAGTACCGCCCCCCCACGACCCACCCTCCCCCCCAAAAAAAAGGAGAGGAAAGAACAAATTAAGGATTTAGAAAAACTGAAACACTTATGTCACGTTGACAAAACAGCCATGCAAAACTATATGGGGATTTCTCCAGAAATTAAAAATAGAACTACGAGGTGTGGTGACACATGCCTGTAATCTCAATGTCTCAGGAAGATGAATTAGAAGGATCATAAGTTCAAGATCAGCCTCAGCAATTTAACAAGACCATGTTTCAAAAAAATTCAGGGCTGTGGAGGCAGCTCAGTGGTAAAGTGGCCCTTGGGTTTACTTCCTAGCACCAAAACAAAAATAGAACTACCATGGGAGACCCAGAAATCACATCCAAAATAATTATGAGCAAAAACTCAGAGAGATATTTGCAGACCCCTATTCACAGCAGCCAAGATATGGAAGTAACAAATGATGGACAAACTGATTCGAAAAATGGGGCATAAACATACAATGAAATATTATTCACTTTCAAAAGAAGGAAATCCTGTCACATGCTACAACATGGGATGAATCTTGAGGACATTATGCTAAGTGAAATACATCCGTCACAAAAAGACAAATGTGATTCCACTTGTAGGAGGAATCTGAAGTGCGGTAGAATGACGTTTGCCAGGGATTACGAGAAGGGAAGAGAATTAGTCACAATTGAAATTATTGTTGAGTAGACACAGAGTTTGAGTTGAGAACATGAAAAAGTTCTGGACAGCTATTTCGCAACAATGTGAGTATGCTCTTAAGCTAAAATCAACACTTCTTAGCAAATTGAAAATTAATATTAAAGTTATTCAGTGGACAAACACTGCATAAGTGCAAAGTTGTCTGGCTGTTCTTCACCAATCCCCAGTCCCACCTTGAAGTAAATTGATTTCTCTGCTATCTCCATCACTCAGGATTCCTATACTCTGTGCCTTCCGCCCCTGCAGGGCTTTCCCCATGAGGTAGAGAAGGCTCTCCAAGGTCATGCCGCCGTGTTCACAGACCACAGAAATCACACCTGCCTTCACGCTGTCCACCACCATCTAGAAAACAAACACAGCTACAGGACCAGGGTCTGTTATTTTAGAATGTTTACTAATAGGAGAATTATAATGGATGTACTGTGACTGCTAAGGAGGTTTTTGTTTTTCAGAAATCATGGAAGGAAGAAGCTAAGTTTCCTTCTTAATTGATTCCCTTTAAAATTATTGTACTCCTTTTCTAATTACAAGAGGAGAAAATTAAGTATACTTGCAACTCCATCACTCAGAGATACATGTTTTTAACAATTTAGGTTATTTTCTTTTAGTCTTTTTACCTTTGTACACTCTATGCAAAAATATATACATATGTATTTTAATTTATATTTAATATTAATATATATTTTAAAATATATTTATGTATTTTATATACTCATATATTAAAATGTATATAAAATATATAAATATATCATATACATATATAACTTAAAAATGATAAAATCGAGATCATGCAATACTGCAATGAACTTCTTGAATTTAAATTTTCCTTTTCACTATGAATTTTTGAATTATCAATATCAGTTTATAAATATTTCCCATTTAAATCAATGTTAAAAAATGCTGTTAATTCAATAGCCAAGCAAACTTTTCACCGTGATAAAGTTAATTCATAGTGTCAGACAGTTTGAGAAGTCATTAAAGCTGCTGCCTTTTCCAAAACCTCATGCCACGTTCTTGATTCAGTTCAACTGACCAGAGAACTACCATGTGGTTATGTTCCACTTTTTACTTAAACTCCCCAACATTCATAGTCAAATAAATAATTGTGCCATAGTCTTATGTAAAAGAGGATAAACAGGGAAATGGACTTGACCAACTTATTAGTGCACACAGATAAAATAGGCAATATTTTATTAACTACCACAAAGAAATCAAATCTGATTTGAGTCATTATCAGAAATATAGAAAATGTAGAGATTTTTGTGGACTAGGATGATATAGGCATACTTCTGAGATCGTAAACTATAGGTGGACCTTGAAAACAGGTGGCATTTGGAAGGTGGAAAGGGGTCATCAATGATCCTCTGTGCCAACGGTACGTTTTTTTAGCATTAGGGGAACTACTTGTGGCACACACGCAGATCACAGCTCTGAACTTATTCTCTCATAGACCTGCTGAGCTCACCGGCTGACAATGATTAGAGCCACTTCCTCCATGCCCTAAAAAAGCAATTTCACATCTTCAAAGCAGCCATTTTGTTACAAATAGGAACTTTCTGGTAAACTTTCTAAATAGGCCAATGAATGTAGCCTGCTGAATGTGATCCTCTTCATCTCTTTGTGTGTATTAATACAAACACATCCATATATGCAGATGCTCGCCAACTTACAGAGTTATGCCCCTACAAACCCACTGTAAGTTGAAAACATCCCACGTCAAAACTGCATTTCATTTCATACCTCTAACCTACCAAGCATGCCCGTCCAACAACACAGCACACACAGCACACAGAGCCTGCTGTGATCCCCATCGCAGGGCTGACTGGTAGCTGTGGCTCCCTGCTGCTGCCACCTGGCATTGCCAGACAGGATCATACCATTTATGACCAGCCCCAGAAAAGATCAAGATTCAAAATTCAAAGACTGGTTTCTACTGAATGTCTCTGGCTTTCATGCCTTGTATGAGAAAGTCAAAAACTCATTAAGTCAAACTGTGATAAGTCTGAATACTAACGTATACCAAAAAAAAAAAAAAATAAGTGTGTCTTCTACATATTCATTTTTTGTATTCATATTAAAATTAAAAATATAAGTTTATTATATATAAAGCATATTTTAATTGATTGGTACCTTCATGAACTAGATCAAAGAATACGATTTCTCACATTCTTCTTCTGAGAGACGGTGGTTATGTAATATTATTAAAATCTTTGGGAATTCCAGAGAAGATCTTAAATAAGTCTTAATCATCATGCTGTTTTTTGGATTAAGTGCAACAGATTCATTTCAATAAGAATATTCTGAACACCTATTAAATGCAAGTCAGTTTGTCTACTGCTTTTTCAAAGTTAATTTGATTTATGGTTACCTTTATTGTTTCCGGTTTTAAAAATGTTTGGGGTTTGTAAATTTCCACTTAGATCAGGCAATTTTCCATTTAGGAGATGAATCATTTTCATACACATCGTGGCCAAAACCTTGCTACACACCCTCTATGTAGATGAAAAATGACCATTCAGGAAAGGGCTGGCCTCACAAGAGTCTGTACCTCATACGCAGGAATCCGAGATGATATTATGATGACATGTAGCTGGGAAGCATAGGAAGAGCTGTCATCATTTTGAGAAACTCCATGCCAGATTTTCTTTTTTGATAATAAAGGGTATGGATGACTTCCAGAAACATTGCTTCTGTAGGGAAAGAGAAGGGGTGAGTGAAGTACTGCTCTTCTCTTGACTTCTGATAAGTAAGCATCTGTGTCCTCTGAACTCCAGCTGCACTGCATGGGGCACCTGGCCTCTGTGTCTCAGACTCTCCCTGTGGCTTGGGGGACAGCAGCAGAGTAGAGTCACATCTTGGGCTGCTGGCAGAGCAGAGTCACATCTGTCCTCCTAGGCCTCCTCTTCCCCACATCTGGGATGTTAGAAAGGTCTTGAAACATTATGGCTTTTGTTGGGCCCTTAAAGTTAATGTGATGATATACTTAGGGGTTAAAACTGAGCAATCAAGAAATTTTAAATTTCCTTCTGAGACTTAGGGGTCTCTGAGTCTTGTCTCTATTTTCTCCACAGCCACCCCGACCCCAACATTACCCTATGACAAGTGCTTTAGAAGGTGCAGCCTACTGGAAGGGAGTTAGGTCACTGGGTGTGTGCTTTTGAAGGAAATATTGGGATCTAGCCCCTTACTCTTTCTGCTTCCTAGCCTCCATGAGGCCAGCAGGCCTCCTCTGCCACTCACTGGCCATGATATACTGTGCTGACCACAGGCCCAATGCAGCACAGCCAAACAACATGGAGCCATGAGCTCTGAACCCATGAGCCAAAAAATAAACCTTTCCTCCTCTTAAGTTTATTTATCTTGGGTATTTATTATAGCAACAGAAAGCTGACTAGTGTAGACCCCATTTAGATATGTTTGCTCCATCAAAAACACTTGTGGGAAAACATTATTTTTACTCAAAAACTTTATACAGAAAATGTACTACATCCACAATACAACCTCATTGCAAGGTTAAGAATATATCAAACGCAAGGTTTCAGTGTTACACATTTCCCTCTTCAGACAGCATTTTCAAGACTACTGTTCTGGAAAATGTAATAATTGTTTCCATAGATAGTTAATAGAATAAGAACCATATAATTACTGAAGCTCCTTGCAGGTTATCTAAATTATTCCAGAATGGATTATTGGTTATATGGGTAACAGTAGATGGAAATGTGCTTACTGTTTGGGCAAAGCTTCTATTGATGCCAAAACAAGCTGTTTCTCCAAAGCTTCATGTAATCCCACTCGATCCCTCACCGTCTGGGAGAGATGTGGTTGGTATTTGGATTTTAACAATCTGGAGCAGCATGTTCCAGTCACCCAAGGGGGTCGAACTTTGAATAACTCCTCTGGAAAACAAACACCAGCAGGCTCGGCTGTTTACTTCAAGCTTCTTCCAGCCAAGTCAACATAGATAAAGGCATCAATAAAGCTATATCAGGGCAGTATTCCAGATGACAACAATTATAGCCATTTGCAAACACTCTTAGGTTTTCTCATCCTTACAGCACTGTGGCTGTGACTTATCAGTCATTTCAGGTCAAGAAAAAAAGCACAGAAGACAAGGAACTCTTCTTGTGGAGAGCAGGTCATCAATTTATAGACTTCCCATCCATTTCTGCCCTTTTTCTTGGTTCCAAGCAATTTCTCATTTGTTACAATCTCCCCAGAGGATGAGTCAGTGGGGGGAGGGGGGCAGGGAAAGGGAGAACTCAAATCTGTCTAGTTGAATCTATTTATTTATTTATATACCAGGATTGAACCCAGGGGTGCTTAACCACTGAGCCACATCCCCAGCCCTTTTTATATTTTATTTAGAGACAGGGTTCCCCTGAGTTGCTTAGGGCCTCACTAAATTGCTAAGGCTGGCTTTGAAGTCACAATCCTCCTGCCTCAACCTCCTGAGCCACTGGGATTATAGGCGTGCACCAACTATGACTAGCTAATTGCTTATTTTTAAAATAAGCAATTATGTGAAGCTGGGGTTGTGGCTCAGTGGTAGAGCCCTTGCCTAGCATGTGTGAGGCACTGGGTTCGATCCCTCAGCACCACATAAAAATAAGATAAAGTATTGTGTCCACCTACAACTAAAATATATATGATCAAACACACTGTACAGGCTAGAGGACTTAGCTAAAAATATGTCTTCATTCCTACTTTCTCTTTGCCCTTTTAAGAAACTTTTTTTACTGCCATCCCTTCTGCTTCCATTCCCATTTTTATTTCTCCTCTTTTATTTTATTTGTTTATTTTTATAGGTCCTGAGGATCAAACCCTGTACCTCACATGTACTAGGCAAGTGCTCTACCACTGAGCCACAACCCCGGCCTCTATTTCTCCTCTTTTAGCATCAATCCCAGCTCTTCCATCCTGAAGCTCTTCCTTGACTCTCAGTGTGTATATCTTTCTCCTCCTTGTTCTTGGTCTTAAAAACCTGAGAGGAACAGTGATGGAGGTGCTGATTCTTGACTTTATATATTTCATCTAAAGTCTTTTGGTTTTTGTTACCCACTAACTTGAAATACACAATAAAGGAAAAAGAATTGGCCCTGAGCATACATGAGAGAAGACCCCGCAGGCTGTTCCAGAAAGACAGAGCTATCCTCCTCTGTAAGAATCAGTCTGTAAATCCATTTGTTTCTACAACACTTGAGTAAGACACAATGTTTTTAAATGCTACTCACTCTTGTGTAGAGCAATTTTCTCCCAAATTATTTTCCTTAGGCATTTTTCTCTCTGTCTCTCCTGAAGCTCCTCGTCCTCTGCTTTGGGTTCATTCAGTGTCCCATAAATAGCAGCGGCCTCCCTGGGAGTTAGCCAATCTAGGTTGGACACACAAGCAATATAATGGCGCTTCCAAGCCCCATACTCGTTGTCTGTTGGTGTATAGGGCAGAAACCATCCAAACTTAATACATTTGGGCATCCATAAGCAATCCTTCAAAAAATCATAAAAATAAAAAAAGAGAACAATGAGTTATAAAATTTTAAAAAAATAGTTTTCTAGCAATAACATTTTCAGGTATCCAGACAATATTTTTTTGTTACATTTGAGATTTCTGGTATAATTGACTTGACATTTCAGCTTGACCCTGAGAAATAAGAAGCATACCTTACTCCATAGGAAAAATTCTTTGGTAGAAAAGAATATCTATATGACAGATGGATATATGTATTGGTCATATTTGTGACACTCTTCCAGTGTTCCCATTGCATTTGGTTACACTTAGAGTCATACAATTCAATTTCCTGCAATATCGTAGTGGTTTGTTCCAAACCAACCCTCCCACGAGAACACTTGTGATTGAACCATATGATATTGCAATATGCAACCATTTTTGACACATGCAAACAGCGAATTTCATGGGATTCAATCTAATCACTCATCTAGACAAAACATCATTTTTCAAAAACAATTTTGAAGGCATTATAGAGCTATCAATGAAATTTGAAGGCATTATAGAGCTATCAATGGAACAAGGGACTTGCCACCAAGACCTCAAAAGAGAGAAAACCAGACAGATACGCTTGATATTTGTCAGTACTTTTTACTTCAAGGCATTTTCTAGTTCTGAAGTAAATCTTAGTAGGCTAAGAAGCTGAGAAGAAAATTATGGCTGAAAGATTTAGAAGCTATAAAGAACTTTAGGGATTTTTATAAGAAAGAAAGGAGACAAGTAAAATTCAGGGCTCAGTAAAGGGAATAGCACTGGTAACCACCCCAGGCCTTCAGGAGAGACCCTTTCAGAAAAAATGATGCAAAATTAGACAACCTACCACAAGAACAAAAGCCAGCTTTGAAAGAGTTTTTTCTCTGATTGGATTTACATGATCCGTTCCCAGCCTAACCATATGCCAGAGGCAAAAGTAAATTCTCTTGGAGGAAAATAACATCATCTAGAGATTCAAATTATCACATCAATGTTTTATACTCAGTATCTAGTGCCTAAACAAAAATAACCAGAACATGGAAAAAGACAAGGATTGTTTGTTTCTTCTTTAGTTTTTAGTAACCATAGAGAGATCCTCAGGAGAGCCAAACATTGTAATTATGAAACTTTGAAAAATTACACCCTGTAATTAATATATCTGAAGATATAAATGGCCAAGTGGAAACTTTTGGCAATAGAAGTACATTGACATTCTAGAACTGAAAAATATAATAATTGAAATTTAAAACTCAGTGAATGAGGTTTAAGAGAAGATCAGATTCCAGCTAAAGAAATAATTAGTAAACTGAAAGATGGGTCAGAAAAAAAAATCTGGATTTAAATGTGGAAAGCTAAAAGCATAGAACATGCATATAACAAAATATGGAACTTATAAAGCATGGTGAATCAGTTTAACATTAGTATCAGAATCCCAAGAGCAAAAGAGACATACCGGGGCAGAAGCAATATATGAAGAGACAACACACAAATGAAAAACACTAAATATGAGATTAAAAACTGCAAGGGCTGGGGATATAGTTCAGTTGGTAGAGTGCTTACCTCGCAGAAGGCACCACAAACAAACAAACAAACAAACAAAAAACAACTCACTGCAAAATACTAATACAAAGCTGTATACATATAGGTACATCAACACACATATATACCCGGGTATATCAAAATATAATTGCTGAAAATAAAAGAGAAAGAAGTCTGATTGGCAGCTAGAGACAAGAGAAAAAAATATCTTTAAGGGAATAACAATAAAACCAGCTTCTCAAGAAAAAGTTGTGGAAGCTAGAAGACAATGGAACATTCTCAAAGTTCTATAAAAATTAACTGCCACCCTATGTGCATAAATTTACACGACCATTGTGATACTACATCAAGCACAAGAATGAGAATTTATTTTTCATTTATGCATGATGTGTCAAAATGCATTCCATTTTCATGTATAACTGATTAGAAAAAATAAAAATAAATTAACTGCCAAATTGGAATTCAAATTCCCAGTGAACAATATCCTCAAATATAAAGATAAAATAAATACTTGGTAGACAAACAAAAATTAAGAAAACTTTATCATCAGCAACAGACCTACACTAAAAAGGAATATTAAAGAAATTCAGAAAAACATGATCCTAAAAGGAGCTCAGAGATGTCAGAAGTTAGCAACAGAAAAAATAAATAGGTAGTTACATATAAATAAATATTGATTTTATAAAACAATAGCAATAAAGTTTTGTGAGGTATATTACATATTATATATAGTTATATATATACATATATTGCAATATATATATATATATATATATATATATATATATATATATATATAGTTAGACACACACACATACACATACACACATAAAGTTTATATATACAGATGGCTCTCCATGGTATGGTTTGGATCTGGAAGTCTCCCAGAGTCTCATGGGTTGAAGGCTTGATCTCTAATCCAGCAATGTTTGGAGGTAGGACTCTGGGGAAATAATTGGATCATGAAGCCTCTGACATCAAGAATGGATTGATCTACTAGATTGATTCATGATTTGATGGCATCATTGAAAGATGGTAAACTGTAGTGAGTGGGGCCTACTTGGAGGAAGAGGTCACTGGAGGTGGTGCCTTGAAAGAGTGTATCTTGTCTCCTGCCCCTCTCCACCCTGTTTCCCAGCTGCCATGAGCGGATCAGCTTTCCTACACCATGCTCCTCTGACATGATGTTCTGCCTCAACCTCAGGCCTAAAACGATGGTGCTGGCCATTGGACTGGAACCTCTGGAACCATAAGCCAAAACTAATGTGTCCTCCTTTTAAATTTTTTCTCAGGTATTTTGTCCCTGCAATGAAAAACTGGCGAATACCAGGTTATTAGATACTATACATGACCTAGAGATGATTTATAGTGTATCTACTACACTGCTATATCATCTTATATAAGTGACTTGGGCAGCCATGGATTTGGGTATCTGTGTGGAGAGAAGGATGTGCTGGAACCAATCCCCTGTGAACTCAAGGACAATTGTATGTTTGTTACACACACACACACACACACACACACACACACACATTATACTTGACAACAAAAGCACAGAACTGAGAAAGGGATCAATGAAATTAAAGAGTTCCAAGTTTCTTGCATTGTCTTGAAGTGGTAAAATAACAAAGGGTGCTTACTACAGTCTCTGTGGTAACTATGAAAGAAATTGTAACTTGCAGTCAAAAAATATTTAAAATATTAAGTTAAACCAAAGAAAGATGTAGAGAGGGAAAACACACAGAATAAACTAAAAAATAAATAGTAAGACGATGTATTTAAATCCAAATATTTCAGAATATATACAAATATAAACAAAATTAATACTTCAGTTTAAAATAAGAGGTTGCAGGCTGGGGATGGAGCTCAGCAGTAGAGTGCTTTCCTAACATATGTGAGGCTCCCAGTACTGCAATCAATCCATCAAAAATTGTCAAACCTTAGAAAGAAAGAAATTGCTGCCACCATATTCTCTTCACAACATATACCTTCAGTGTAAGGACCTACAAAAGTTAAATGTCAAAAGACAAAAACAATACATTGTGCAAACACTACCCTGAATTCTGAAGAGATTTTTGAGGTTCTGTGAGCCCAGGGCTCATAGTGGGCTGTGCCTGTGACCTCTCCATCAAGAGCCAGTTAGTCTCAGAGACCAGAGTCTTGACACAAGCCCACCCTGGACATTTTGCATAATCTAAAGAGAGGAAATTATTGACTTGGATCTTAAGTATGTCTGCCATTACATTGCATTAAATCTTTTCACAGAAAAGGAAGAGACAAAATTTATGGCAGAAGATGTTGATTTTAAGCAGCTGCTGTGAACTGCCTTTAACTGCTGTTAGAGGATCTAGATTAATATTCTTCAACAGATATCAGCTGAAGAGGGATCTGCCGAAGACATGGTTGTGTGGCAGTTTTCTAGAACTGAGTTATGGATAAAATAATATCAGATAAAAAACCAAAGCTTAAATTGTTTTTCATGGAGTATAATGAACTCCTCTAACAAGGTAAGGTGTTTTCTATATATTGAATATTTCAAGATTATTTAAAATTATGTGAAGTATTGGAATCATGTATATAGCCTTAGTTGCAAAACCAGTTGCTGTGCAGTGGCACATGCCTGTATCCCAGTGTCTCAGGAGGCTGAGACACAAGGATTGTGGGTTCAAAGTCAGCCTCAGCAAGGGCAAGGAACTAAGCCCCTCATTCAGATCCAGTCTCTAAATAAAATACAAAATAGGGCTGGGGATGTGGCTCAGTGGCTGAGTGCCCCTGAGTTCAATACCTAGTACCAAAAAAAAAAAAAAAAACCACCAAAAAAACAATTGCTGGATTTTGCTTGTCCTTATTATTTTCATTCAGGGTGACTCAGTTGTGTTACAGGCACCCTCTGCTCTTATCTTCGGGGAAGACAGCTAGCAAATTGTCTCATCACAGATCACAGCTGCCTTTGAGTTCTGTTACTAGGAAGTGACACAAACTAAACCTGTTCAGTTAAAAACTTCCAGGGCCAGCTGACTTGGGCTGCTGCACACAGGTCTTTTGGGTTCAGAAAAGAGAAGATATATAGAGAAATGAAGCGTGGTAACACAGTCGAGAAGTCCACCCTGGCCACTTGCGTCCTTTCTGAAAACCAGTCTTGGACACACCTAAAAAGAAAGATGCAGAAATTTAGTTCAGAACCTTGATATCTAAAATTGACTAAAAATCTATATAATCTTTCTCCCAGGTTCTGCCTATAAAAATTAAGGTTTTGGGGCTGGGGTTGTGGCTCAGTGGCAGAATACTTGCCTCGCACTTGTGAGGTACTAGGTTCAATCCTTAACACCACATAAAAATAAACAAACAAAATAAAGATATTGTATCCATCTGTAATTTTTTTTAAAAAAGATTAAGGTTTTTGTCAGAGGATAGCTGTGTACTTCAGTGATAGAGTGCTTGCCTAGCATGTTCAAGGCCCTAGGTTTGATTCCCAGCACCACAGTAAATAAACAAATAAATAGCATAAGGTTAGAATTTCCAAAATACCGTATCCACTTTCAATTATCCATTTTAAAGAGAAAGAGGGAGGACAAAAATATCTGAAATTCACAGGAACAAAAAAGTCTGAAATAAACTTACTTATTTAAACCATAAACCTGATTTCCCCCCTTTCCCCTTACCCCTAATTCAATGATCCAGAAAGTACTATTAGCTCTACGTCCAAAATAAAGCCCCCAGTCCAACTGCCTCTCTCCATCATTACTGCTGTCACTCTGGTCCAAGGCACCTGCACCTCTCTCCTGCACTGTGGCAACAGCTTCTAGATTGTTCTCCCAACGTCCACTCTGATCTTCCTAGAGCCCATTCTCCTCCACACAGCAGCCCAAGAGATTCTTTAAAAAGGTATATTGGGTAATGTCACTCATGCAAGTAAAACCCTAAAATGACTTCCCAACACAATTAGAATCAAAACCTATAGCTGCTTCACACCTGCCACAATAGGAGGAGCAAAGCAAGAATGTCCACTCTGCCTACTTCAGTTCCCATGTACTGGAGGTCCCAGCCCATTCAATAAGGTAAGCGAGAAACAGAAGTAGAACTGTCTCAATTCATATGCCATGTACACAGAATCTACAAAACAACTATGAGAGACAGATAAGGAAACTGCAAACTAAGTTGTTGACAACTTCTTATTTTTAGCATCTCCTTTTTCATTCCTGATATTGATTATTTATGTTCTCTTTTCAAAACAAGCTCTTGCTAAAAGTTTATAAATTATATTACTTTTCTAAAAAATAGCTTTTGTTTTCATTAATTTTCCTTGTTATCTGTCCATTGTCTATTTTATTGACTTTCACTCTTTTTCATTTCTTTCCTTCTGTTTATTTTGAGCATAATTTGCTATTTTTCTACTTTCTGCTGTCTGAAATTCAGGTCGGTAATTTTAAATCTCTTTATTCTTTTTTGATATAGTCATCCAAAATGATAAATTTCCCTCTAAGCTGTGCTTTATCTGCACCACACACCTTTAGATATGTTGAGTTTTCACCATCATTCAGTTTGAAATATTTTCTAATTTCCCTTGTGATTTCTTCTTTGACCACAAGTTATTTAGAAATGAGTGCAAATGCTACAATACTATCATGGTACTTAAAACATTCAACAATAATTCTTTCATGTGACATCTTTTAAGAATGATATATATCAGGTCTGTGCATTGCATTGCATTGTCTTCCACCTAAGCACAAATGAGTCCTAAATGGGTACAAAATCCAAAGCCCCATCAGTGGCCTTCTTGAGGGCTGTACATGTCTTGACAAAAGAGGCATTCCGCAGCCCATGAAAGAAGCACAGCTGCACAGACCTATTGCCTCCAACTACATAAAACATATATATATACAAATTCTTAATTCCTAATTGTCCATACTGGTGACCAACAGGTTCTACAGTCCCAAGACACCCAATAGGGGTCATGTTTGAATAACAATTGCTAGAGCAAGAAGGCTTGGAAGCAACCCAGGCAGCAGTAAATCAGGGGCTTTTTCTGGAACCCTTGTCTCCTCCAAATTCAGTGAAATTACAGACATCTCTGACTGGTCTCAAAGCTACTTAGAAACTTGCTAAAGAACCCACCAGAACTCTTTACCTCAGGACTTTGGGACTATGGAACCTTCTCCCACTGCTAAGTGACTATGCTGACCAGTGTTACTGGACACTAATGAACACAGATTAACTCATGGGAAGAGAACCTGGGACTGAACAAGCCTCATCTCTGACTTAAATTCCCATAGTGTGGCTTAAGCCTGAGTAAGCTTCATGTGAGAGGAAAATGGCATCTCTAATTAAGAAAAAATAAGACATTAGTTACTGTTGTAAACAAGTGGCTAAATACCCTGCAGATCTAGAGATAGTCAAAACCACTACTTTACCCAGACAACTGGCTTAAAGTGAATCCTCACCTACAAGTCTCAAACCCTGGAAACAGCAGAGCTCACTAATGAAATAGTCCACCATCCAAAGGTCCATAATCCAGCATAATGGTGAAATGTTGATCACCACTCATAGTACTTGATGCTTAGCAGTCTGAACTCTAGTGGTACCACTAGTCCCAACACACTGTCTGAGACCAAGTTTTACCCAAACAGACCAGTTGGTGAACTAACTGTTGAGCCATGTTGGACCATACAAAGTAGCCACATCTTAAAGAAAATGCCTCACTTTAAAAATAGTTGAAGAGTGCTCACTTTGGCAGCACATATACTAAAATTGGAACAATTTAGTATATGGAGATTAGCATGGCCCCTACTGAAAGATGGCATGCAAATTCATGAAGTGTTCCATATTTTTCAAAGTTATGATGTTTACTGGTAAATGGATGGAGCTGGAGACTATCATGCTAAATGAAATAAGCCAATCCCCCAGAATCAAAGTTCTAATATTCTCTGTTATATGGATGCTAACACACAATAACAGGGGTGGGGAGGGAAGAATAGAAGTTCATTGGATTAGACAAATGGGAATGAAGGGAAAAGAGGGAGGATGGGAATAGAAAAGACAGTAGACTGAATTAGACATAACTTTCCTATGTTCATATAAGAATACAGGATCATGGTAACTCTATATCAAGTACAACCACAAGAATGGGAAGTTATACTCCATGTATGTATAATTTAACAGAATACACTCTAGGGTCATATATAACTTCAAAGAATAATTTTTTAATATTTATTTTTTAGTTGTAGTTGGACACAATACCTTTATTTTATTTATTTATTTTTATGTGGTGCTGAGGATCGAACCCAGGGCCTTGCACATGGGCGGTGAGCACTTTAACCACTGAGCCACAACCCCCTCGCCAAGAATGAATTTTTGAAAACCTAAAAAAAAAAGTAGTTGAAGAATAGTTCTGCTTAAGCTCGCTTGATTTATGCTCAAAAGAGTTATAATAGTAGTTAGGCTGGGGTTGTAGCTCAGTGGTAGAGTGCTTGCCTAGCATGTGGAAGCGCTGGGTTCAATTCTCAGCTCCACAAATAAACAAATAAATAAATGTCCATTAACAACTAAAAAAATATTTTTTAAAAAGAATTATAATAGTAGAACTACGCGGGGCTGGGTTTTGGCTCAGTGGTAGAGTGCTCACCTAGCATGTGGGAGGCCCTGGGTTCGATCCTCAGCACCACATAAAAATAAGTTATCAAAATAAAGGTATTGTGTACAACTAAAAAATAAATATTTAAAAATATAATAGAACTACTCTAAGTGATTAGACTATCTGGCAAGATTTTTAAAAAAATTTGTATGAAACCTATTGTTATCCACAAATCCTGTATAATTTATCAACTGTGCCAAACTTGGATGAAGACCTCTATAAGCCTATCTCTTCATGTGTCTTTAGTTATTATAACTTGCATATAGCAAAAGTAAATTCTCTTTCTTTTGTCATGCTTGGTTTGACCTCAACAGATAGACAATTAGTATTGTTCCAATTGATATAAATCTGGACACTGACTTTGCTGTGCGTGCTTTTATGGTCACCCTCGTCTCTTCTCAGAAGTCACTCATGATTGGAAAACAGTAGCTCCTGAGTTTCTGGGGACTCATAAGTTAGGGAAAGGTCATCTGGTCATCTTGGAGGGGAGGCTATAGGCCTTGCATGATGGGCAAGGAGGCAGAAGTAGATGAGACTGAGGAGGGTACAAAAACTCCATTCCTATTTTAGATACAGATTAATCCTTGTTCCCCCCACCCCCACCCCAGGTGCTTTCCATAACTCTCTCAATGTTAGAGATGTCTTTCCCCACTGGACCCAGTTGTATGAGATATTATTGACAGCCCAATTGAGAACAGAAACATAAACCTGCTATAATTGAGTAACAGTTAATGCAAAGAAATACATTAAATGAAGGTTCTAGGGGTTGCATTGAGAGGTACAGACCCAAATGGCCCCTTTTCATAAGCTTAGCAGAGCGTTTTACAGGAGATCTGAGTTCCAAGTTCCAACAACTACTGAGTTCCAAGATTCCTGTTTTAATAGGGCAGATATAAATGTGTGTGTGTATGTGTGTGCGCGCGCATCTGATGATGGGTACACTCTCTCTCTCCCCCTTGACTCTATCAACCCTGGATCATGCAGCCCATCTCCACATTGCCTAAGCCGTGGGATCGTGTAAGTTGAAGAGATTGTGTGTTTCTGTTTCTCTGTTCTTAATGATTTTCCCAATAAACCCTATTCTATACATGCATCATGATGAACCATGTATTTCACTGTAACCCCTTTACATAGCAGAGGATGATTCTTGGTAAACATCAGGCACTCAATAAATATTTATTGAGTAAATGTGTGATAGGAAAAAATTGTTAAATCTTTCCCACCATCTGCTAAGAAAAAGCCAGTGTTGGAAAATTCGTGTCCTAGATTTTTTTTTTTTTTTTTTTTTTTTTGGTGCAAAATTATAGAATGGAGAGAATCCTGCATGCTTAATCCTACATGATTAATTTACAATGGAAAGGAGAGATAGGCATCTTAATGGACAGATAGAGTTGAGGACTAGGAGTCTACCAGGTCCTTCTGCAGACTTGCAAATAATCTCTCCAGTTTTAGCCCCCAATTCCCAATTTCTGTCAGGAGTTTGTACAGTGAACTGGCTTCTCATTCATTCTCTCTCTGTGAGTGTTAAGTGTGATGTGCTTTCTGTTATTCTGTTGTTCACGGTTTCTCCATTCAATCTCTGCTTGCACATTTTTGATTTGTTACAGACATCTTTTAGTTTCATCCATTTTGTGTTTCTTGTTCTTTATCGTTTGAGGGTGATTTTTCAAGAGAAAGAGAGCATAGAAATGGCTTTACATTCTCAATTTAAAACTGGAACTCAAGATTTTTAACAGAGTTGGAATTCAAAGCAAAGGCATTTCACTCAGATTTTCTTGCAAATTTTATTTTAGATGGGTCCTGTTGGAAGAAATCTATTTCTTTTCCCTTTTAAATGGCAATCTCTGATACAAGACTAAATTTCTTCCCTACTGGAACTAAGTGAAGACACATATTATGTGGTTTATTTAATCCTAACTTTGATATCCAGGCTGGCCACATTCTGAGATGCCAATCATTTCTCCTGATTGGATTACAGCTGTAAATCTGCAAGTTACAGAAAAAAAGAAAGAAAGAAAGAAAGAAAGAAACACAAGCCTGCTGTGCATGGGTCAGCGATAGGGTACGCTCAGCCTGGAGAGGGCTGAATGAAAACCAAGGGTCATTTAACAACTGGCCTGTCCTCCTCAAAACTGTCAAATAAGAAAAAATGAGGGAAAACCTGAGCAGTTGCTCCACATTGAACATGGACACTGAGTACAATAGGTCACCCTGGAGTGGATTCTGGACCAAAAAGGAAAGGATGCTAATGTAGGACATTGTTGGAGCCATAGGGAACATTGGACTCAGGGGCATGGGTAGGATGTTAGCAACGTACAGTATTATAGCTGCCCGTACTTTGACTTTTCCTTGTTTGTTAGGAAACTCATATTGACAGGCTTAGGGGTTAATGAGTACCATGTAATCTCAAATGATTCAGGGTAATAAGGCAAAAATGGTAAGATGTTAATTATTCAACTATAAACTATTAAAGTTTAATTAAATGGAGGAATCCAGGTGGAAAGGGTGAAGAAGTTATTTGTACTCTTCTTGCAACATTTCTGTACATTATAAATTATGCAAAATATGATTTTTTTAAAAAGCTGTCTGCTCCAGTTCCCAAATATTGCTGGTATATATTGTATATGCCTACTCCTCTGACATTGTTTGAAGTCACTGTTCCTTCCTGATCCCTGTCCTTGTAGCCTAGTTACATTTGAGATAAAACAGAGTGACTTTTAAAAAAAACCTGTTGGCATGTCAGTCTGAGGAAAGTGTGTGGGTCTGTGTGTGTGTAACCAGGAGAGCCAGAGTAGAGTTGTGCCTGTGCTAATAGTACATGGTATTTACAAAGAGAAGTATCACTTGGTGATCTTCTCAGTATTAATCACAAATCACGTGTATAACTGCAATTTCCTTAGAAATTAACACTCAAGCTGAAAAAGATTGTGACATCACCAGGAACAGTTAATCTCCAAAGCACAACTGTCCCAACTCATTGTCTGGTAGGCTTCAGAATCTTTTTTTTTTTTTAAGGCTTTGACACAACATTTACTTTCATTTTCTTTGGAATTATAAAACAGATTAGTAAAATAAGATAAAAAACACAAAAGCTTCCAGCCACATTTCCGAGAAGGATCTCAGTATCTTTAGAATTCTCATCTCCAGGGCTGGCAGTGTTGCTAAGTAGTAGAGTGCTTGCCTAGCACGCATGAGGCCTTGAGTTCAATCCCCAGTGCACCCATACGGGTATGTGCATACACACACACACACACACACATATACACACACACAAACACACATCATTTCCACCCACCCCCTTCCCTCCTCACAGAATCGACTGTTCCATCCCAGGAGGGCAAAAGAGAAGAACTGAATATGAATTATTATAAAGTAAACCTCAATTATACATGTTTTCTATTTGTTGCTAGTTTGCACTGCTGCAAGAACACATTCAAGGATAATGAATCTTAAGCAAAAAAAATAGAAAATGCTTCAGTTACATTTTTTTAAAAAAATCAGTGCATGAGCAACAGAACCAGGGTAGTTTGCAGTAATGGCATTGCGGCTTATCACATTTTAGTTAATGTTGCAAAGTAAGAAATCCATGAAGAGAAATAACAATATGTAAGGAGAAAATGAACAAAATGTGCTTTGCTCATTTCTGCAACAAGGATAGTTTCGTTTAAATAATTCATGACCAGGCCTTTTCAGTGTAGGACTGAATGTACAATGTGTACTTTCAAAAATAACAGAGCTTAGTAATATGAGGCTTGAATTTAATTCTCTGCTCTTAAATTTCTGATAAGAAGTGGAAAGGAGCAGCCAGAAATGTGAAGAAAATGTGCAGGAGAGCAGGGTGGAGAGGTGGCCTGTAAGGGTGAATGGCTTTGGCAGAGGTCCCAGTTTTCTAGTTGCCTAGGTAGCCCCTCTTAGTCTTGTCTAGTGGCCTCTTACAATCACTGTGTGGCATGTCTGGAGTGCAGTTCACGTCTGTTTCAATCCCTACTGCACTTCTCAAGAGGCCTCCAGGAGATGACCCGGGGCCCATGGAGCATCCACAACTAGAACCATTGGGATCTGAGTAACTCCAGAGTTGCATGGAAAAGGAAGATGAGTCAGCAGTGTGACAAGTATCAACCGTCATACAAATGTGCCTGTGGATCCAACAACCCATCTTGTGGGAGTTTTTCCTGAAACAATGATTAAGGGTATGTCT